TGTCTCCATTCTAAAAAACAAAGCAAAGTTCCTCCAGAGTCCTGACATCTGCACAGCAGACTTCCCAAATCATCTGCCTTCACTTCCGGCCTTTCCCCGCTCCAAAGGGAAACAAGCTGGTGTCCTTGCTTTGAAGCACTTTCTTTTCTTGGCTTTCCCACATCCTTTGCTAGGAGAGGCTTGAGTCTGCCCTCTGGAGTCCCTCTATCCTGGTGACAGGTACAGTGGTACAAGCCCAAGGGACAGGGATGCTACAGTATCTCCTTGAACCCTGTGTGTCTGTCCCTTCTGGTGAGGAATCTCTACTCCAAGTCACATCCAGGCCTTGCAATCTGCTCTCTTGTGATCACACGGATCAAACAGGAACTCCAGGCCACTGAGTCTCTTTATGGGGCTCTCACGTGCAGCCTTCTCTCCAGGCAGCAGTTGCTCCCCTGTGTGGCAGCCATCAGAGAGAAATGGGGGCTTGCAGGCCCCCTCTGCTGGATGAGTTGGGTGACTCCTGCCACTGGACAGAGTGGTCTGGCCACTGCACTGTGAACTGCCTTCATGTATCGGTTTACAGAACCAGCAGGTGTACACAGACACACACACACACACAGGCAGTGCAGCCCAGTCCCCCCGCCCCTAAAGCTCAACAGGCCCCCGGTGGGTGTGTGACTTAATGACCATGACCTCCTGGGAGAGCAGAGCACTGTGCTGTCCCTGGGCCCTGTGAAAGGGGTGTGTGTTACTACGCCCCATTGCCCAGTGCCAGGAGGCACAGTTCCTGCATCTGAATCACTCTGACCTGCAAAGCACACAGAGGTGCTTCACAGGTCTGTCCATCTGTGAGGAAGTCTGCTCCCCCAGGGCACCTCACTGGTCTCATCATCACCTCATCATCGGAGACAGATGCAGCACAACGGCACAGACCGGGCCTGCAGAGGTAGGCTCAACTCACTCCTTTGCAAGCAAACACAACTCTGTCCACATATGTGGGGTGCAGGGGGTACCACAGAGAAAGTGCAGGCACGCAGCATCCCACTATTTCTTAACTGTGTGACCTTGGGAGATCGTTCAGCCTCGCTGTGCCATCTCACCCAGGATGACATGGAGAGCAGCAGCTGCTCCCAGTTGCCTCCTCCATCACAACAGAAGGGAGCTGGATGGGTCCACTCAGCTGTGCCCAGGCTGGCGGGCAGCTGCAGACACTGCTCTCATCTCGGAAAGTTCCCCCTATGTAACTGCTGTTTACTAACTTGCTTCCTGGACTGAAATATCAGTCAAGGGCCTGAAGCATCCTGGTATAGAGAAGAATCTGAGCTGGACGGAGAGTTCATAGCACACAGCCTGAGTAAAACAGAGCCAAAACAAGAAGCTCTGATAAGAAAACACCTCATGTGCAAGACTGCAAACCTGGGCACACACATGGAGTTTTATGGCCACACTGGAGCCAATAAGCTGCAGTAAATGTGCATGAAGTGGAGGGAACGAGGTCAGACCAGATGGAAGTTCTATACTAAATGTGAAATTGTGTGGAGTTCTGGTTTCGTTTCAATGAAGAAGAAAGTAAGAAGACACACCAAGAGGGCCAGCAGTGGGTGACAAGGGCCCAACCAAGGCAGAAGCCAGCATGGCAAGGAGAGACTGGGTTGGCACTGGCAGCAACCTGGAAGTAGTGACCAAAGTGTCACAAGACGCCTTCCTTGGGATGGCTGGTTCTCATAAAGGGACTGTTGCTTAGCTTCATCTCTTACTCTTCTCAATCTAGAGCCTGTTCCCACAACTCTGGGTCCTTTTCAAGGGAAAGGATACTTGTGACAATGCTGGCGAGAGTGCACCAAGTCACCTCAGCTGCTGGCCTCATAGTTAATCATACCACCAAAGAAGGTGAGACTTTCCATGCGAGTTTTAAAAAAGAAAAACCATCCCCAAATCTTAGCCCTCAGGTCCCTATAGGATATACCCTCATGAAATGATTATTCCAATTTCTAAGCTATATTTACAGCATAATTCTTATTCCTCTGGCTCTGTGGGTTCTTTCTTGACTCCACATATCTGGGTTTTGATTAGAAATCCATGCTAACCAACTTAAGGCTGGTACTGGAAATCCATTGTGACTGAAAGAATAAATGAAATCTCTTTGTGTTTAGTCAGGACAACCCGCATTCTACTTGTGCCAGCAAAGTCCTCTGAGGCTTGGGAGTTTGAAAAATTTAGGGTCTTAGCTTACAGATACAATATCCAAATAGCTCCCTGTTGGAACCGGACAGTGGATTTTCATCCCAGGCCTCTGGCATAGGCGTCGCTAGATTTGTTCAGGACATTTTCCTCTGTTGCTTCTCTCTTCCTGCCCTAAGCAGAGGGACTACAATCTAACCACATGGCTAGGAGTGCTGGCAAAGACAAAGCAAAGCTATTACAAGTTGGAAGCAAAGACAAAAAATGATAGTGAGTAAATCAGGAAGATAGTGCAGTTCGCCACAAGACAGCCTGCAATCCACTGTCAGCTGGGAGGCCTTGCTATAAAATAAACAGTCCTGGCCAGACCAAGTTGGCTGACAGAGTACACTGGAGCCTTCCGGTCCCACCCCAAATCCCCAGAAGTGATGAGAAAAATAAAAACTCCCTGAGCTCCTTACAAAGCAAGGAGCACTAGAAACCATGAACAACTGTGAAAGGCACAAGTTTTATTCTTTCTGAAAGAGGAAACAACTCAGAATGCACAGAGATAGGGCCGGGGATTTAACTCAGTGGCACCGTGCCTGCCTCAAAAGTGCAATGTCCTGAGTTCGATCCCCAGTACCAAAAAAACCCCAAAAAACCAATGCACACAGATAGAAGCTGCTGTCAAAGAAAGACAGGAGATCAGAAGTTCTCCAATTAGAGGTTTTGCCTGTCTGAACAGGAGGGGACCAGGTACTGGGTCAGATATGGACACTGGATAGTGGTTAGCAGCCAGAAGGAATAAAAAGCCCAAAAGTGGAGCTTCTGACAACATCAGCCACCAGTACTGCCTGTGACCTGGCTCCGGGAGTTGGGAGGAAGGCCTGTGATAAACACAACGCTCACAAACAAGCCCCCAAGGAATTTGAAAGACAGGGATGAACACAAAAACCGGAACAGAAGTTCCAGAAAGCCAACACTGAGAAAAAATTACAAAATTCAATATAGAAAGACTTTACATATGAGAAATAAGAGTTCATACAGCAGACAAAATAGTATTTAAGAACAAGTATAATAAATCTCCCTTAAAAGAACATCATTTCATCATGAAAAATTTAAAAACCTCAAGCCATACAAGGCGGGAGCACACATGTAATCCCAGCCACTCGGGAGGATGAGGCAGGAGGACTGCAAATTGCAAGACAGCCTGGGCAACCTGGCGTGCCCCTATCTCAAAACATAAAATAAAAAGGACTGGAGATACAGGTCGGTGGTACAGTGCCCCTGAGATCAATTCCTGGGGAGGCGGGCAGGGAGAGGTGGGGAAGGGAAGGAGGAAGGGAGGGAGGGAGAGAAATAGAAACAGTGGCTCAAGTGCTGCAGGTGAGCTGGAAAACTGCTGAAGACTCACTCTCTATGAAATGCCACAGTTACTCTGTGGCAATTAAAAATAATATAAAGAAGCAAAAAGAATTAATGTCTCCAACTGCCACTATCTTACAGAGGAGCCAATAACCATGTGCAGATATGAGTGCATGAAAGGTTGGCTGCTCTGTACATGAGACCAAACGTAGCTATAAACAACGTATCAAGCTGAAATGACATTTTGGATACATGGGTTAAGTAAAATGTGTTCTTAAAATGAATTTGACCTATTTGCTCCCTTTCCTCCCACTCTCTTCTACTTCATGCCTCCCTTCCTTCCTCTTTTTTCATAAGGCAGGGCAGGGTTAGCTGAACTTTAAAGTAAGTCAAGTCATGTGCTTAAGGCCAAACAGTGAACAAGCTGCACACATGGATGTGAACCCCACGTCCGACTCGAGTCCAGGTGTAAACTGAGGCAGGGACTAGGAGGAATTGAAGTAGCTGCCTGATAGGAAGGAAGGAGGCAGCAGTGCTCTGGCTGATGAGAGGGAAAGGAAGCAGATGGTTTCTGGACAGAGCAGTCCACACACTCCCTGCAATGCAGAAGCAGAATGCACGCCAGAGGGCGAGCTGGAGGGGACCAACACAAGTAACTGCACTCTACCCTGTCCAGGGACCCATGCCCCTTGTACACATCCACAAATAAATAATGACGTTCCTTTGGGCCTTCCTAAAAGTAAAATGACTCCACTGTGCCATGGGGCCCTGTCTGTGGAACAGATGTATTTGCTATGTCTTGCTTTGCTATAATAAACTTACTTTAGCATTGGAAGTGACCCATGTATCTTTCCATCTGTGTGTGAAGAGCCCACAGAAAGTGCTAACAGTGGCTATTAGAAAATTTAAAATTACATAGGTGGTTCATCTGGCCCCTTTACTAGACAGTGCTCATCAGGAGGGCAGAGGAAAAGAATGACAGAAAGTGTGGGGTGGAAGGCAGATTTAGATGAATTGGCATTCATTTCTCCTTGCAGAAGAGGAGAAATAATGAAGAAGAGACACTGAAGGAACAAGGAAAAATTCACAGAACGGAGTAAGAACAGAGCCTCTTGTTAGAAAAGGGCCACTATGCTAAAGGAAAGCAGTCCTGCTAAAGGGGCATCAAGGCAGGATGCCTGCTTTCACCCTCAGCGCATATGCTGCCCTGAAGATTCCAGCCAAGGCCACCGAACAGCAATGTGGATGGAATGACCACCTATATGCCTCCCTCCTATACCCCGCCACGCTCCTATCAAAAAGCCTGTTTGTGCCCAAAGCAGTTTGTGCCACCCAGGCAAGAGCAAAAGGGGAACACAGCAGCACTGTCTCCTTCTCAGATAGGTGTGGGTGATACCTGAAGTGGGACATGAGCAGCCGCAAGAATGGAGAATGAAGCTTTCATTCATGATTCATTTGTGAATCACACGAGGCCCCTGTGAGCTGCTTACCTGCGAATAGCACCAGCAAACTCCGAGGCCAGCTCACTCTCGCTGCACGACGTCCTCAGTTCCACCAGGGGGAGGGCTGGGGAGGCAGCCTCAGCACACTCCTGAGGACGGCAAACAAGCTCTGGTTAGACCGGAAGCCGAGCTGGACAGCAGGTAATGGCAGCAGTGTCGTGCTGGGTGGCACCCTCCAATCAGGCTGAAGGGGAAGCTGGTAGCAAACCACAGACAATCCCGCCTCAGCTCTCCGACGACCTTCAGAGGCTGCCCTATGGTGCCCACAACCCCTGCTGTCACAACCCCCGTTGTGCTGAGGGATGCACTGGTCCAAGCCCACAGCATGCATTCACTCAGTCATTAGAGGGAGCCTGAGGCAGATACCTCTGTTACCCCATTTTACCAAGGAGGAAACTGAGGTACAGAGAAAGAATGCACTTCTCAGTCACCAGTGAGGAAATGGGGGATCCAGGACTCAAAGCCAGGCTGTCTGGCTCCAGCTCAGTCTCCAAAGGAGAAATACACATGAATATCCTGTTGCCCGTCCCACTACCTGGGATGAAAGCCAATCTTCTCTACACCCAGGAGCTTTACTGGGTTCCGTGTAACTGAGAAAACAAAGAAGAGGAGGAGGAAAACAGAAGTGCACTTCTATCACATACATCAGACAGGAACCTCGGTGATCTAGGCCTCAGAATAAAAATCTGTGATGTGTGGCAAGAGACACATGTGAACAGAAAAGCCTACTGCATGGATTCAGTGCTAGAAGTCTAGATGGCAGGTGCCACACTGTTTTGCCAGCCCACTCATAAAGAAACACCAGCTTCCTGGGCACGCTGAGACAGCAGCACAGCCGCCACCTGAACACCCTCCTTGGCCACGCCCTTTGCCTGGCCTCCCCCCCTCCCCTCCATCTAGGTGTCCTCAAAGATCCACAGGGTCTGTGGAGATGCCTCACCCTCCCTTTTCATACATCCGCTCCGCTGCTGTTAACATTTCCTATGACTCCTAAAGCTTGGGACTGGCGTGCCTCAACTCCCAGTGCCTCCTGCTGAACGTATGTGGTAATGTCTGTTGCATACAGACTTAAGAACTGCAAAAACCTAATGAAACCTGGAGAGGATTGGGGACCAGCTGTGCTGGCTGGAGAAAAGTTTCTGAAGTAACCAGGAACACCCACCCATTGGAACAATGTTCTAGACCCAAATATGGCCCCTTTACCTGTTTATATATGGGCCATAGGCCAGGAATGGTTCTTCTGCTTTAAAATCATGAAAACAGTCAAGAGGAATATTTTGTGACAAGTAAATACTGCATGAAATTCAATCTTCAGTGTCCATCAATAAATCGTTAGAAGATAGCCACACCCACTGGTTTCCCTATGGTCTCTGCTTTGCACCATATGGCTACTTGAGCAGAGACGAGTAGGTGCAACAGTTTGGACACCCTACAAATCCTAAAATATTTACCACTGGTTCTCTCCAGAAAAGTTTGCTGATCCCTGCTCTGGATCATTTGGCTCTTCTCCAACAAAAAAGACTAATGGGGCAGGCATGGTGGTGTACTCCTGAAATCCTAGCACTTGGGAAGCTGAGGCAGGAGGATCACTGTGAGTTGGAGGCCAGCTTGAACTATATAGGAAGACCTTATCTGGAAAAAAAATAAAGACTAATGAATGGCCAAGATGGGAGATCTTATTGAAATAGTAAATGGATCCAATATTAAAATTAGAATAAGCTGATTATCTTGACTTTCAGCTTCATAACTTGAACAACAGTGGGTGCTCTTATAAAGCTTCTTACTATAACGTTAAATCATCTGGCCTTTTCTTTCACAGAAATTTCTGTACTTCGAAGCCACTGCACAAAACACAGAGTACTTCTCTCAGTCTAAATAAATGCCAAGAGCTGGGAGAATATGTTCATGGGCCTTCAGCAAGAACCTGGCAAGTCACTTCCACCACACCCAAAGAGCACACAGAGACACTAATGTTCTGTCTGGCAGCCTTTACTGAGAACTGACTAGTAACAGATTCCAAAGGCTATGGAAAGGCTCAGAAGGCATCTGTATGGAAGAGAAAATACCATTGCTCAGAGCCCCAGGCCCCCGTAAGAAACAGCACCAGATGGGCTGCTGTTCCCCAGCCAGGTGATTCCTAAGCACTGGTGCACTGGCCACGGGGACTTCCAAAGCCAAACTGTGCTGCTCTGCTCCCTGCTGAATGCATCCTGCGACTTCTCACTGACCTGGGACACACGGCTGGCTAACCCCTTGGCAGCATGGATCCCTACCCTGGGGTCTCCCTGTCTCTTCAGCCCAGGGTGTGCCTCCTCTCCCCAGCCCTCCACCCTGCCTTCAGCAGGCCACTCCCCTGCCTGCAGGGTCCATTCAGAAGCTCATCTCTTCCAGAAAACCTGTCCTGAGTCTCCAAATCCGGATTCTGTGTTTGGTCTGGGATCTACCGTGGTACTACGAGGTGATCCTTGCACTTGGGACACTGTCATTATGTTAGGATTGTGTTTGCCCAGAAGCCTCCCCTGTAGAAAGTAAACTCCGGAGGATGCAGTCTGCCTGCCATGGAACTCGGGGCCCAGCTGCTGTGAGTGCCAGAGCACACTCCTTGGCTAAGGCTACCCAGGAGAATGGAAAGCAGAGGGCCTCAGGACAGCTGGCTGGCAGGGAGCAAGGGCTGTGTGCTCCCAGCACCTCAGCGGGATGGAGGTGGCCAAAGATGTAGCTGTGAAGAATGGTTCAGATTTCTTAGCTATGTAGAGAGTGAAGGTCCACACCACACAGCACCAGCACTGTTCCTTCTTTCCCATGTGCACAACTCTCCTGGACACTATCCTGAACATGGGCCTTGAGCAGCCATTTATGTGGCCAGCAAGTCAGCACATTATCACATGTTCTGGGTCTCAAACAAATTGCGCTCGGGAGAAGCTGGCATTACCAGGAAGAGGAAATGCAACACACAGAATGTAGAGGACACAGGATGCAGGTTATAGTTCTTTAGGGTCCAGAGCCTATCTTTCTTCCATTGTGATATTTGGAAGAGACATATAAAATGATAGAATAAGCTTGGATTCTATGAAAAAGAAAGACCTGGGAGCTGATGGCACCATGAATTTGCAAAACAATGTCAGATGCCCACTGTGTAAGGACATCTGCTTTGCAATCCAAGCCTTGCCTTCCCCTTCCCAGCCTTGAGGCTGCTCCCGCTGAGCCCCTCTCCAAGGCTGAAAGCCAGCAGGAGAGGAAGTGAGCCTGTTAGCCGGTTGTGGACTCAAGCCTGAGGTCCTGTGTTTTGGTTTTTTGAAACAGAGTCTCACTACGTAGTTCAGGCTGGCCTTGCACTCACTTTGTAGACCAGGCTGACCTTGTACTCACAGCGATCCTCTTATCTCAGCCTCCCGAGTGCTGGCAGCACAGGTGTGCACAGGTGTGCCCAGCTCTGAGGTGTCGTTTTTTAAAAAAGCTTCGAGACCTGCATTTCTTTGGAGCCTCATTTTCCTTGTGTAGGTGGGCATAAATATTCCTTCCTCGCTGACTTAAATATTCCTCCTTCACATATGGGTGATTTAAGGGAGATAATAAATAAAAGTACCAAGAAACCAACAAATGATGGCTACTGTGAAAGTAGATGAGAAGGAGGAGGTGAGGCCAGTATCAGAGCAGCAGACAACTGTACAGACAAGACAGACAAGTATTAAGTAAAGTGAGATTTGGATTTGAATGTGGATTTGCTTTTGTTACATTCAAGTGTCACCTGAGATATCTAGGAATGACCTATGCAAACAAGGAAACTGAGGCAGCAGGGTGTGTGGTGTGGTCAGTAGTAAATAAGCCTAGGTGCAGCTTGACCCACGGAGCCCCGATGTGCCCTGCCCCACCTTGCCAGCTTTGTCTTTGCTGCCACTGCTGGTGGAGCTGAGGGAGCGCATCTGCTGCTCCTTCTGCTCCTCCACCTCGGACTTGAGGTGCTCGATGTGCACCAGGTAGGCCTGCTCCTGCGCCTCCCGCGTGCTCAGTTTCAGTTCCAGGGCCTTCTTCTCTTTCTCTAGGAGGTACAGCTGCGCCTTCAGCTCTGCCATCTCCTCCTGCAAGGGAAAAGCACAGAGCACATGAGCGCCCGAAATGCACCAGCAGAGCTGGCTACGTCAGGGCCTGTGCAAAGGGGGCCTGGCTACCACCATGGCCCACGGCAGAGGGACTGCTCTGAAGCCACAAGCAGGAGGACTGGGAGAAGATGGTAGCTGTTTCCACACTGTGAAGCGCAGATGTGGGGGACAAATCCATCTGCTTTTTCACTCTGGGAACAGAACTGAGATGAAAGGGCAGAAGTCACAGGCAGATGTTTGGTTCAGTCTAAGGAAAGCCTTTCTAACAGTTGTCGGGACCCCAAATGGATACATCTGTCTCACTGGAAACTTGATCTCTGGCACAGAGCGGCTGAGCTGCATCAACTTGGGGTGCTAAAAGAGTCCCCCAAGCATGGAGGTCTGGGTCTGACTGGGTCCCTACCACTTCCCATGCAATTTCCACCTTTTTTTATCGGCGTAGTTATACAGAATAACAGCTTTCATCTTGGCACATTCATACATGCATGCACACAATATACTCTGATGTCGACCCCCATTAACCTTTCCCCTTTCCCTTCTCTTACTGTCTCCCCTACTTTCAGACTACCCTTTCCCCCTATAGTGTAACAGAGAAGACACGTGAACTTGTCTGAGTCTGGCTTATTTTGCTAAACATCTGTAGTTCCATCCATTTTCCTGCAAATGACAAAACTGCATTCCTCTCTCTGGCTGAATACTCCTTGGTGTATATGTACCCCACACAGAACTGAGTTACAATAAACATGGGCATGCGATTATCTCTATAACATGCTGGCTTGGATGCCTTTGGGTATATACCAAGGAATGGCACGCCAGTTAATTTAAATTGAGAGACTCTTGGAAAGATGAGTTGCTACACTCATTAGTGGACTTGTCTGCTCATGCTCACAGGTGAATGTGCTATAGGAGGTGGGGCCCAGGTAGAGGTGGGTCACTTTGGGGAGCCTCTGGAATACAAGTCACACTGGTGCACTTCCCTGTGCTCTATTCCCAGGCGCTGTGAAGTGAGCAGCTCTGCTCCACCATGCCTTTTTGCTATTACAGTCCTACCCTGGGACCAGCTGACCATGGACTGAAACCTCTAAAGCCATATGCCAAGTTAAACCTCTCCTCTCCTAAATTGTAGTTGTCAGATATTCTGTCCAAGCGATGAAAAGATGACTAATACAAGTAGTGTAGCTGGATAAGATAGTAGTTCTGTTTTGAGTTTTTAAAAGAAAACTCCACACTGATTTCCACAGTGGCTGCACTAATTTACATTCCCATCAGCAGTGTAAAAGGGTCCCTTTCTTCTTGCATGCTCACTAGTACTGTGTGTTTGTACTCTTCATGACAGCCATCTTGACTGGAGTGAGATGGAATCTCAATATAGTTTTGATTTGGATTTCCCTGATGGCTAAGGATATTGAACACTTTTTTCCCCCCACACGATTGTTGGCCATTTGTATTTCTTTTGAGATTTATCTGTTCAACAGACTTGACCATTTCTTGATTGGGTTGTTTTTCTGTGTTAAGTTTTTTTGAGTTCTTTATACATTCTGGGTATTATTCCTTGGTCAAAAGACTAGCTGGCAAAGATTTTCTCCCATTCTGTTAAGTGCTTATTTTGCTGTGCAGGAGCTTCTTAATTAGATACAATCCCCTTTGTTGATTCTTACTATTATTTCCTAAGCTTTTAGAGTCCTACTCAGGGAGTCATTGCCTGTGCCTATATCTTGAAGTGTTTCTCCAATGTCTTCTTCTACCAATTTCAAAGTTTCAGACCTTACATTTAGGTCTTTGATCTCTTTGCATTAATGTTTGTACAGGGTGAGAGATAAGGATCTAGTTCTAATCTTCTATTTACACATAGCCAGTTTTCCTAGCATCATTTGTTGCTGAGACGGTAACATATGTTTTTATCACCTCTGTCAAGAATCAGATAGCTGTAGCTGCATCCAAACCACATATTTAATGACCCTTTTGGTACCTTCGTCTCCTTGCAGCTGAGCCAGGCAGGTGGAAATACCTACCACAATAGCATCCTCTCACTCTTGTTTACTTCTGAGGGCCCAAATGAAATCAATAACATACACTCCTCATAGGAGAGGATTCATCAGACAACTTGGAGGATGGGATCAAACCTGGGGCTCTGTGCCTGCTATGCATGACATCTATCACTGAGCCATGTCCCCAGCTAGATAACTTCCAAAAGTAACGTACAGGACTCAAATGTTTCTTTTCTGTGGAGACTAAGAAGTGAACCTAATAGGGAACAACCCAATCCTGGGACCACGAGCCACATAACAGTGACAAGCAACAGCCTTTATTGAGTATGTATCACTATTATAAGGGTTCACAGGAAGTAACTCATTTAATTCTTCCAACCTAAAGTAGGTATTATGAGTATTTCCACTTGTGAATGGAAAACTGAGGCATGCAGAGGGAAACCTCCCTTCCCATGGCTGCTGGGTAGGTTGTGGAGGCAGTTTGACCCTAGGCTGTCTGGCCCAAGGCCCAGCTTCATAACCACTCAGCTACTTTGCCTCCCTCTTGGGATGAGCCTGTGCATAACCTCTGGCCACCTCTGCTGGAGGGTGAGTCCGCCACAGCATGGCTGCCAGGGTGTCCTCCCCAGCAGTCTCTATGATCTTCAAGGACTCTGCAGAAAGCTGAGTCACCACCTTGAGATTGACTCATCAAGGTCACTGTCTCTGGCTACTTCTGAGGACAATGAGCTGCCAGCCTGCTGTGCTCTCCTGGGTAGACGTTTATACCTCCAATGTGGGCAACAGCTGGAGCCACTGACCAAAGCTTGTCCTCCTCAGGACGAGAGGATGTTCTTCACTCAGAAGAATAGGCCAGCCCTTTTTTCACTAAAGATCAGACATGAAAACCAGAATGAAAATGTGTTTTCATACCAAGAAGCCTTCTCATCTTTTGCCATCAGAAGCAGGATTCTGAAGGTTCTGGTAACATTGCATGCTGAGCTTATGTGGCTGGTCACACCCAGAACAAACAAGCAAGCTGGAAAGAAGGAAAGGTAAACCCACAGGCACTAGAAATGAAATAAGTCTGCCAGAGGAGACTGGCAAAGTGGGCAGAGACATCAGAGCGGTCTGCAGACCTTGTGATCTGGGTTCTTCCCATCCGACCACTGGCAGAGCTGGGCCCTCCCACCTGACCACTGGCAGAGAGCCACACTGAGACCCCTGTATGAGCTGTACTCTCAAAGTACTGCCCAGAAAGAGACCAGAAAACACCCTTTCCTTTCCGGCGATGTTTAAGGAAACTTGCAGGCTCTGAGCAAGAAAGACTGAAAAATCCCCTTTGAGGAATCAAAGCCTTAAACTTGTGTCACGTGTTTGTGTGATGCAGGAATCCTAATCCAAGAATGTATTAAAACCTAGTAATAAACCTGTGAAACCCACAGGTCTTACTCGGGAGATCTCAATACCCAGCCACTCTAAGGACAGCTGTAAACAAGGACCCACAGGACGCCTGAGACACAGTCTGTGCTGCAGATCGGCCCTGTACATTCTCCAGCCCCAACAGGGGATGGCAACGAGCACACTGATGCAGAAGCACTGGGTGCAACAGAAGCGAGAGCCAGCATATACAGGAGCGGAAGTAACAGAATGTGGAAAACCAGAAAGCAAATATACAAACAGTTTCTCTCTTTTTTTTGTTGGTACTGGGGATTGAACTTGGAACTTTATACTTGCGAGGCGGGCAGTGGAACCACTGAGCTAAATCCCCTGCCCAAATATTCAGATGGTTAAAGGGAGGAAGGAATAGGAGTGCTGATGAAAGGTCAGGACATTCATCTAAGAAGAGTGGACCAAGTAGATAGTCTACAAATGAAAAGGTACTTAGTAAAGATCATGGACCAGAAATAGGAAACCGAGAAATGTGAGTTTTCTCAGAAGTCAGATCCCAGAACAAAATGGTGAAAGGCAAGAGAATCTGCTGGATAATGGATCTACTCAAGTGAGCACTCATCAGCAAACACACTGGGAAAGGAGAGGGCACTGCTGTCTCCAATTTAAAGTCCCCAGGCAGAGAAGTATACCAGAACTCAGGCCAGGTTATGCATTCTTTCCTCCCAGCTATTCATAATTTTCACTGTCTCAGAATATTTATAAAAGGAGTGCACATTTATTTTCAAGTGGCAGAAGGAAAATTAGTGCTTTTGTTCCATAAAAAGTGTCTTTCCTGGCCAGAACAACTGAATTTGTCACACTACACACTGGCCAGTACATAAAACGGAAAGTCTTAGTCGATGGCCAAAGGAAACATAATATTTAGAATAAATAACGGAAGAGCAGCTTCATGCCACAGTCCCGACTGGGGAGAAAGTCACTTTGATTATGGAGCCAAGGCCAGGCTCATGGGCAGCTGGTGAAACTGGCCAGGGATGAGGACTCTTGGAAGGAGGAATCCAAGCTGAGTGAGTGGATGGGGTTAAGCAAGCTTGGAACTCAGGAGAACAGGGAGGGAGTCCCACACGTGCTTCCACTGCCCAGAGCCTTCCCAGGCTTCACCCAGACTCAGGCTACCATGGCCAAGGCCAGACATGCGCTGAGAAGATCACCTGACTGCACAAGTGACTGCTGTTGATGGGCCTGGCCCTCCGCAGAGGCCGCGCTGCCAGAGCTGTGTGTCTCTTCATCTTTCTGGGGACAATACTGGATGCAATGGTGGAGAAACAGGACAAGTTGTTAACCAGACACCACTGCAACCCTCTCTGCCTCCACTGGGGACCAGAGACACAATGGACTCCAAGACTGCAGGTCAGGCCTCTGTTCACAGGACAGGGAAGTTTGGAAAGCAGGTCTGGAAACACGGCCCCCAGCTCCCAATTCAAACCATCAACAGGGCCTGGCAGCACACCGGGACCTGCAGAAGTGGCCCCAAGCAAGCTCCCCCTGCTGCCATGGGGCTGCTGAGATGTATACTGCATCGGACTGAAAGGATGAGCTTAACTGCTTGCCAAGGACGGGCAGCAGCTTCCCGACAGAGTTCTCTCTACTCCAGAAATGCTGGAAAGTAACACAGCCAGTGGGTGCACAGCCCAAGACCTTGTCAGGAGCACTGGCCAGAACATCATGGCCAACCTTCACTGGGTTAAGCAAGCTCTGCACTGGACCCAAGGCACCAGGGTGCCAGGAGCATAAGGATTCCAGGCAAATTCAGCAGGTGGCCTCATACTGGTCTCCCCTTGTTGCCACTGAATGTGAGAGTCAGTGTTCTAACTACTTCCCAGCACTTGTGAGTTCAGGCATCACTGGACAGACCAGACTTATTCTAACATGCAGAGGCCTGGCCTCTCTTGGAGGACCAGATGCTCTGCAGCTGGCCTGGACACCATGAGGCATCCTCTAGATTAGGAATCATCATGGATGGACTCAGGTTTATTCTATCCTGCACATCCAGATGTCTGGCCTGGCTTCTCTCTTGGAAATTCTCTGCAGCTCTCTGCACACCCTGAGGCATCCTCCCGTGCCTCCAGGAATGTTCAGACCAAATGACTCCCAGATAAACTGAAGCCATCACTGTCCATAGCGATGCTCTAGCTCTCTCCATGCTGATTTCTCACCTGCGGGCCCTGCTCTCAGGCCAGTCAGGTCTCCCTCTGAAGCCAGCCACACAGAACAAACCCCTCAAACATACCTTCATGGCCATCAGCTCCTGCATCAGCACAGCATTCTCCAGGTCCAGCCTCTGGCTGTCCCCGCGGGGCTTGACATCGTAGCTGAGTGGATCAATGTGGATGCTTTCCAGCTCCAGCATGGTCAGCTTGACTGCTGCCCTGTCATTCTTGAGCTGCTGGATATAATCCTTCAGCCTCTGCTCATCTTCTTTAGTGAACTCCGTGTCGCAGCTACTGCCTGTGGAACTGGTTGTGCTGAGAAAGAAAAACACCATGTTGCCAAGTTGTCACTAAAATATCCTTTCTCCTCACCCCATCTCCCTAACATTATTTAGAATGTCCCCAAAGGCACATTCTTTGGTCCACTAGAGGGCATCAGAGCCATCCAAGGGGCCTGGGCACCCCTCACTTCATGGTGACCAGTCAGGAGCTTCCAGACTTGAGGAGTGCCCAGTTCTCTCCGGAGACGCCTGTGGCTACAAGTTTTTCGAGGAGCAGGGAGTGGTCTCCACAGGACACCCTCCCCACCTCACACTGGAATAGGGGTCATGGGCACAGGACTCAACTCAGCCAGGGCAGTTCCATTCTTGTATAAAAACACATCAGTGAAAAGAGAAGGCTGGGTGCACTGACACACACCTGTAGTCTGTGCTACTTGGGAGGCTGAGACAGAAGGATCCCTAGAGTCCAGAAGTTCAAGGTCAACCTAGCTGGGCAAAACAGCAAGACCCTGTCTCAAAAAGGGAAAGGAGAAGAGGAAGGAAGAAGACAAGGTTTCCAGGGAGAGGAAAAGGAGAGAAGAGAGGACGGGCTGCAGCGCTGCTGCTCAGTTTGCCATTCACATGAGGAAGATACCACCTTAGGGTGTGAAGTGGTCTTCAAATTAGAACAGCTTCTAGGAGGGAAACTCCTGGACACCAAAAGCCTTTGGGGTGGCCCTGACTCCCTTTGTCTTGCCAGGAAGGAAGAAGTCACTGGGAGATGAAGGGAGCAAGATCAGCCTATCCACACCACCTCTTCAGGAGATAAGAAGTGAAGTGATATGGGCACTGGACTGGCCCACAGGCCCAGGCACCTTCCAAATACCAGCCTAGAGGTATTTTTTATATGTGATTCACTTTTTAAAAAATGGTACCAGGGGTTGAACATGGGGCTTCACACATGCTAAGCAAACTCTTTATATATTCCAGCCCTTTTAATTTTTTTGAGCCACAACCTACCAAGGTGCCTAGGCTGGCCTCAAACTTGTGGTCCTCTTGCCTTAGCCTCCTGAGTAGCTGAGGTTACAGATATGATTAGTGTCTATGTCAGTAGACTTTGAGTCAAGGAGATTAATCTCCCAAGAAGACATTCTGTCTCCAAACAGGCTACACAAGATCCAATATCAACTGGTCCTTGGGTTTCCAGCCTGATCTGAAGATTTCAAACTTGCCAGTCCCATAATCAAAGGAGCCAATTCCTTAAAATCATTCTGTACAGGGGTAGGGATTTAGCTCAGTGGTTCCACTGCCTGCCCTGCAAGCGCAAGGTCCTATGTTCGATCCCTGGTACCAAAAATATATATATCATTCCGTGCATGTGTGGAGAAATAGATGTCTACAGAGACAGAAATATGAGTTGTCTCTATATAAAGATATCCATATCCATACATGTCTCCTATTGGTCTGCTGCTTTGGAGAGCTCTAATACCAAAGTACTACCGTTACTTATGCCCTGAGCCTCTTACATAGGTCTATTTCCTCATCTGTGAAACGAAGAGAATAGTGTTACATGCTCCATAAAGTTGTGGTAAGGATAAAACAATGTAAAGTGTAAGGTGCTTAGACCAATGCACAGCATATAGTAAGCCCTTGATAAATAGAGCTATCATTCATTTATTCGGACATACCAAAGTGCCTACTATGAGCCACCCAAGTCTAGGCCCTTGCCTTACCTCATGGGACTTATATTCTAATGGGGGAAGACAGGAAGTGAAATTACACTATACACTGTACCAGGGAGAAAAATGAAGCCAAAGGCACAGGGAGTACAAAGTAGGGATGGAGTTATTATCAGAAATGGTGCTGGAGGGAAGGCCTGGAGGGGACCTAAAAGAGGCGAGAAAAGAGCTACACAGATGTGCTGAAAAAGACTGAGCCATGGGCTGGGGATTTAGCTCAGTGGCACCATGCCTGCCTGGGCAAGAGCAAGGTCCTGAGTACAATCTCCGGTACCAAAAAAAAGAAGACTGAGCCAGGCAGAGAACAAAGAATTGCTAAAGCTCCGAGGCTGGGAGCTTGGCCAGCAAGATGGGACTATGGCTGAAGCAGAGCCGACTGGAGGAGGAAGCAGAACTGGTCAGAGTGTGTGGAAGAAGGCAGGTGCCATTTCAGTTAAGGTTGTGTCTAGAATTTTTAAGTTTTCTCTAGAATTAGAATGGCAGTCACTGAAGGGTTGTAAGAGGAGTGACATGATCTGCCTTACATTTTAGAAGGATCCCTCTGGCTATGCTGAAGAGAGAGGTAGGGAAACCAGGCCAGGGCTGGGAGGCCCCTCAGGAGGCTACTTCAACAATAAAGAACGGAAGCCTGAGGTAGGATGAGGGCAAGGAAGGCAGAGGAAAGGTAAAAATATTAATCATCATTATTGTGTTTTCTCATGATATATTTTATTTTATTTATGTTTTTCTACCATGGATCGAACTTGGGACCTTGTGCTTGCAAGGCAGGTGGCAGAACCACTGAGCTAAATCCCTGCCCCCTTCTTATACTATATTTTAAAAGGATGAGAAAGGAGAAGTAGCACCTTCAGTTAGATACCTCAGGTGCTATTCCATAAGGGAGTGATGTTGTTCACAGGAAGCCTGACAAAGCAGACAAGACCACGGCACAGGGCACTGTGGAGGTGTGTGGTGCATTTGTGAGCCACAGCTGCCCACCAGAGGGACTAATGCCCCACCCCCTGGCAGTCCTCTTCCGCCCTGTCTGCAAACAGCTCTGCGGTGGGCATGATGCATACAAAACCCTTTAGATTGGGCGTGGGAGCTCACCTTCAGACTGTCAACACTGACTCAAAGGGACAGGCATCTAATGCTCCCCAGATGAATGAGTGGGCAAATTAAAGCAAATGCAAGAGGTGGCATTGCTCACATGGCAACTCACTGGGCTGAGTGCTGAGCTGGGCTCCCAGGCACCATATGTTTAGACTGAGTCGCTGGGGAAGAGCAGGCCTTCTCTCCCTGTCAGGAAGGAGGAAGCTTCAGGAATGAAGCCAGGACTGCAGCCCAAGGTTAACTTACAAGTTTAGCCTTTCCTTTTCATGAAAAATTATTTTACAAAGCTTCAAATGCCAGAAAAATACACAGAGAATAACCAATACCCACATGCCTGTCACCCATATGACATTTTGCTATATTTTCTTCACACTACTATTTTTAGAAAAAGAGCATTTACATTTGAAGCATCATTATTGGTTTACATTTAAAATAGAAATTGCAAAATCAAAGAGCACTAAAAGCTAGAGTTGTCTAATTATTCTGAATGAAGGGAAGTGATAAAATTTTGGCAGATTTTCTACTTAGCAGGATCAGTCTACCCTAACAGTTCTCAAAGAGGAATCCCTGAGCTGACCGCCACATTGGCATCCCTGACTGCGCGTTCCTGAGCCAGATCCCTCAGGCCAGAGTCAGGGACTCTGCCCAGTAACCTGTTTGAATATGGACTCTGATGGAAGCTCAGGTTTGAGAACCACATGTCTGCCCCTCAGGATATAGGCACTTGCTTAGTAGCCTGTGAGGTAACTGGACACCCTCATGTTTTCTAGGTAGAGGCCACTCTACTTCCAGGTTGCTGTGGTAGACACCACTGAGGGCCAGAAGGTCTCTGAAGCCAGACCTACCTGAACATTTCTCTTCGGGTCCTTCTTAGTCCTGTGGCCCAGAGTGAACTACCCAACCTTTCTCGGGTGCAGTATATGGGGCACTAATGGTTCCCACCTCCCATGTTGTGGAGAGGACACTATGGCCTGAAGCAGGAAGCAGGCAGGACCAGGTGGAGGCGCCCACACACTGTGGGCGAGGAGCAGGGACAGGGCCCCTTTCCTGACAAGCCCAAAACTGGCCAGGCCCACCAGCAGACTCGGGATCCCTGAGAGGTCCGCCATCTACAACCATCCAGAACTTCCTTCCGAAGACAAAAAAGCAGCCAGGGCTTGACTGGACTTTATAGAGACCACCAGAATCAGGGAGAAGCCCACAAATGCGAATGAGCAGGGAAAACCCACAGGCTCTGTCACCCTCTAGGGCCTGGAGCTGATTCCTGGCTGAGCAGGAAGCCTTCTGCTTCACCCTTTGTGTTACAAGCATCATTTCCAGAAAGGAAGAAAAAAGAATAAGAGAGTTCAGTTCACAGAACTTACCCTGTTGGAAGCTCAGAGCCTCAAACTGCTGTTAAGCAGAGGAATGCTGAATTTCAAGATAAGCACCACATTACCAGGCCCTCCAACCTCCCTCTCTCCCAGGACACCAGCAGGGAACAGATCAGGCGAGGTTAATTACAATTCTGCTTCAAGCCCTTAATGTTCCACTGCGGAATATGATTATGACAATGGTGAAGGAGGGGAAGCCACTGGCCTTTCCTCGGCCTCCCTGAGATGAGGCCCTGGCAGCCTCCCAAAGGCCTGCTGTCAGCTGGGCAAGGCTAAGTCATCCATTAACTCTCAGCTTGGAGCACAGGATGAGCTCAGCTGTCACGGGGAATAAATCACTTCCCGCAGACTGTCTGAGTCCTGCTCTCGGCATGGAGGATGGAGGTGTTCTTGATGGGATTGAGGCTGTGGCTGTAGGTGAGGAAACCTCCAGCCCACCTGGCTGCACAAGTTTGTGTTTTGTTGGGGTTTTTTGAGGAACCAGGATGAATGTGTGGGTTTCTTTTGGTGATGCTCTGCTGGAGCACGTGTTGCGCTGGCTTACTATGCATCCACCAACTGCCAGCGCATCTTGCCACACACCCAGGGCACACGCAGCTGGCCCGCAGCCTGGCCTCTTCCAGATGACCCACTCTCTGTCTACTAGGTCTGCTGTAGGATGGGCTGTGAAAACCAGCTACGATGTCAAATACCACCTCCTCTGTCCCTCTGCACCAAGTCCCATTACCAGCCTCAAGGTGTTTCACATCCTGCTCATTAGCAGAAATACTAGCTCAGCTTGCTCTGACAGAAAGCTACATGGGCATTTCCTTCTTTTTGCCTCAAGAATCATTGATGGCATTTTTCTGCAATTTTTAGCGGCATCTTACCTGGTCCTAACTCAGATCTGACTTCCATCAGACATAGCTCATTTTTATAAGGGTAGGTCTAGAGGCAGGGCATCTTCTTTTATATATACTGGGAATTGAACTCAGGGCCTTGAGAGTGCCAGGCAGGTGCTGAACCACTAAGCTATATCCCCAGGCCACGGGCATCTGTTTTATTGAGCATATGACACTGATTTGGAGGAGGGCTCAGTCCAGGGGGCAGTTGGCACTTACGCCACTCCTTGGTGGCCCCATTCTTCTGGTCTACTGTCTTTATCTTGTACTGTCGCACCAGGGTAACCTCTCATACCCTTTTTGACAATGAAAGGGTTTCACAGCAAATGAAAACACTAAGCAAACGCCATGACACTAAGGCTTATGTGTTCTACAATGGTTATGAGAATTCTCCAGGAGAAATGGAGGTTAGATGAGGGTAAATTACCCAACAAAATCTCACAAAATATGGGTATGAGAAAATCTGCAGTCAGATAATATCCTCAGAAACTGCCTAGGTCCAGAAAGTGCCCAGGAATTTAGCTGACAATGAAAGTCAAAATAAAAAACAGAGATGTTTAGGAGATAAATTCTATGTATGCAGCCATTTTTAAAGGTGCCACCACACTGTTATTGGAAACTGGGCATCTCTAAATAATACTAACTCATTCCTGGATTGGTCACTGATAACAAACCAAGACAGACACTGTTAGACCTTAACCAAGATAGTCAAATTGAAAATACATGCACACTGGGCCGGGGATTTAGCTCAGTGGTTGTGCCATCTGCCTCATAAGTGCAAGGTCCCGAGTTTGATCGCCAGTACCAAAAAAGAAAATACGTGCACTCTAATACTCCAGGTCAGCAAGGGTTTAGAGGGAGAGGCCTCTTACACATACTGGCTATAGGAGAATAATTCAATATGTAGAGAGGGCTTTTTGACATTGGAAACAAATCACCTTTGAGCCAGCTAATTCTGCTTAGAACTGGTCCCATAGAAATTGCACAAGGACAGGCCTCATAACCTTCCAAGAAGACCCTTTAGGTCTAAGCTATTGAGGCACATTTCTATTCTTTGGAACCCAGACCTTAAAAAAAACTGCACTTAAATCTGTGGCCCACACTGTTCCTATGTCCTATCCAATGAGGGTCCTAGCAGAAAATTTTCTTTGTGCATCATGCATTTTGTAATGCTGGGATTATTGTTGTTTATTCTTGTCTATCTGTCTTTCTGTATGTCTCTCTCTCTAGGTACTAGGAATTGAACCCAGAGACTTTGCAATGAGCTACATTCCCATCCTTTTTAATTTTTAAAATTTTGAGACAGTAATGCTAAATCACACAATTTCCCAGGCTGGGCTCAAACTTGTGATCTTCTCAGAGTGCTGGGATTACAGGTACTCACTAACACATTCAGCCTGCTTGCTTTTATAATGAGCATATAATTCTTTTGACATCAGGAAATCGGGTCTGAAAGAAAAAAAATAGTATTAAAAGGATTTCATGTTTCCATCATATTCTCATAGAACCTAAAAAGTAAGTTGCAAGGACATTGGAGCAGGAAGGCCGTTCACCAGGCTGTCACACAGAAGAATCTGTCTCAGCTGGATGCTGAAGTGTAATAACACTAATAAGCATTAATCCTGGGACTTTGATGGACTCTGATTCTTGGATGGGAAAGCACATTCTCTTTTCCAGTAAAGATGACTGTTGAAACAGCCAGATATAGCCTGACTCTCATTGCCTGAAGCTTGCTGATGGAGGTGGCAGAGGCCTGTCCTAACTGGATGGCTAGTTCAAGCCATCTCCCTTTTCACACGATTCTGCTGGCCTTAGTGGTAGCAGAGTCTTTCTGCTCCATGAAATCTGATCTTAATCTGGACTAGTTTAGAGAGTGAACTGGGCACCTCTGGAGCTCCGTCAACCCCTATTACAATAGGCCAGGCGGGCAGCGTTCTGGATACCTGCGGGTACAAAGAAGCTCATGGCACCTCTGCACATGGCTCATAGCCCGTAGTGCTAGAAATGCCTCTGGAGGACTGACGGTCAGCATTCCTTTCCTGAGAACTTGAGTAACAGTAGATGGACACTCTGAGTAGAATGCTATGCCAGGTGGTTATAGTGGGTGGTAAGGTAATTTACACAGAAAGCTCCTTTTCTTTCTTTTTTGCATAAATTTGGTATGGGGGAATGTCCAAGCCAGAATGGCAAGACTTACAAGAAAAATTACTGTGATTACTGTAATTGTGAAAGAGTCTGGGGGCTGGAAACCAAGTTTATCTGAAACAGTATAATTGTGTCAGGTCCTATGAATCCACAGGGCCACATAAATGCTGCAATGTGGTTCTATATCTATTGGAGCTGCTCTGCTATGGGGAGGAGGGGAAAGTGAATTTTCAGAGAACTGAGTAGACTCAGAACTAAGCTAAACATCTTTTGATGGAAAGCCCATCTGAGACTGAAACTAGTTAAAAACCCATTCTTTAGTAAGGTCATTACTGAATCCAGAGACTCAGTGTTGTGGAATTTGTCTCAACTTATAGAAGTACATCACCAAAAATCAAATTTCTCTGAGAAAACTGTCTCATAATCAAGGCTCACTTGTATGTTAACAACATATCTACCTCTCTAACAAATATTCAAATCCAAGGTCTCCATTAACATGGGGCCAAAATTTTCCTCACTTCTGACCAACTCCAAAGTTGTTTCTGATTCAGATTAAAATAATAAAATTTATTTTTTAGAGGCTGAGGCATGAGAAAATGATCTTTAGCACAAATCTCGTAAGCTACTAAAAAAGCACACATTTCCTGTTGACCCAATTCTTACATTCACTAATTCAAAAGAACAGTATCACTGACAGCATGAGTTCTCCATCTCTACCTACATGAATGTATTATTCATGTCTGGAGAAGTCATTATGAGGAGCATCTGCTTTCTCTATTTAAATAGAAGAATTTGGCTTTAAGAAAAAAATGAATTGTAATCTGAGTTTCACTGAATAAGACAACTGTTGGTGGGGTCCAGAGGAAATACCTCCTTGTGTTTGTGGGCACCTGGCCAACTGTGGTAGTGGGAATGTGCCCTCTCGTGGGACATGGGAGTCCAGCACAGGTAAATGGATGCACTGAGGCAGATGGCTGGGACCGCCAGTGGGAACGAGATGGAGGCATTAATCTGCTCTTGGGCACCAAGAAAAAAATCAGTAGTTCTTGCCTGGCTTTTGAGATCTCATCTGTCCTTCTAGTCACCTGGTCAGCAAGTAGGTTCTGTTACGTGGGACAGGACAAATGGACCTTCCAGTGGGAAGGTCAACGGTTTTGTCTGAAGTCCTGGGTTACCCTCTTAGCAGGCTTGTGGCCTCGGACAAGTCACTTACACATCTCTGAACCAAGGCTTTCTTACCTGTAAAAATGCTAAGTCATCTTTTTGTCTTTCGTAATTTCAAAATCCCTTAAGAAGCTGTAACCTAGGACCTCCTAGACTGAGAACTGGTATATAAGGGGAAGGCATTTGCGTATTTAGGGCTTCAGATGGCCAAAAATGGGAAGATAACTAGAAGAGGCTTCATTCTGACCCCCTGATCAAACAGTTTCAACAAATTACGCTTAGCAAGGTCTTGGCTGCTCTCCTTCTCATCTTTTTCCAGCACCCTCTTTAATTCTCTAGATTTACAGACTGAACTTGACCTCAGGTTCATGATTAAGTGCCTGGTAAGCACAGCTGTGAATGTGGCATCACTCAACAAGGACAAAGAGATGAGAGGAGAGGCTCTTGCCTGAGAAGACCTTATGAATGAGAGGCCCAAGAAGAGAGTGGGAGTGGAGGACAGGTGGGCTGGGCCTGGGGAGCTCAGGGACCTATATAGCCAGTGCCCTCCGAAATCTAAGTGCTTCCTGAAATCCAGAATTATAAAGAAATGGAGAACAGAACAGTAGGGAGAAAGAGCACCAGACAGAAAAGTAGGTTTGTGTTCCATTCTACCTAATACTTTAGGGCAAATCACCCTTCCTCTCTGGACTGCTGATTCCATGAGGCCCGAAAGAGAGAAGGCCACATTCTAGCTCCCTGCTCTATTTCTCTGACTCTGTGGATGGAGCTAGCTACAAGCCTGCAGCGTCTTGCTTTACCTAAGCCACACAGTTCCCAGCAGCTGCACCACTGCACCTCTCCACTGGCGAGGAGAATACACAGGCATAGGTCCCTCCTTCAGCAAAGCCTGGCAGTACCTTGTGTGGCTGTTGGAGGACAGGCTCTCCCAGGGCTGTACGCTGCAGCCGGCCATGGCGAAGGCTCCCCCACAGCTGCCATCCAATTTAATAAGCAGGGCCTTGGCAGCGTTCTCGGCCGTCTTCCGGCAGTCGTGGGCCCGCTTCAGCATCTGGGTGATGTTTTCATCCCCTGACTGGTCTCCTATGTTGCAAAGAAGCCAATGGATTAATCCTCACAGGCATGGGTAAGGTAAGCCTGGGAATGAACCTGCATTTCCCTTCTCAGTCTCTCAGGGCACAGGTAGCGCAGTGGGGAGCACCAGTGAGAAGAGAGGAGACCTGTGTCCAGGGCTTGACTGTGTCTCTCAAAGGTTGCCATTGGGGAAGGCATTTCTCTGCTTGGGCTCTGCTGTGCTTATGGGCAGGAGAAGGGGTATGATCTCCAAGATCTGATTCCAGCTCTCACATGCTGACTTTCTAGTTGTCTGGGCTCTTGGCTTCTCCTGCATGCAGGCCCAGGTCTGTGCACTGGCACTAGGTGAATAAGGGCAGGGAGAAACTGAGGTGCAAGGCCCTCTCTCCACATGTCAACTTTGGCTAGAGCTTTATTAGGGGCAAAAGAGAGAAAACTAAGAGTTCACATGAGAACTTTATATTAGCTCTGTAATTTCTGTACCAGTGCAATCCCTATCCCTCTCAACTTGAAAGTGGTGTCTCAACTCAGACGCTTCTCGAGAGAGGTGACTGGGCTAGAGCAGGACACTGGGGCAGCGTGGGCACCAATACAGAGCCAGACAGGCAAGTTCCTACTCAAAATGTTCACATTCTTATGTTTTAAAACTGTTCTGAAAACAGCAAAGCTATGGTGACACCAAAAAGAACAGTGGTCGCCAAAGGTTGGCAAGGGGAGAATGAATACTTGGAGCATACAAGATTTTAGGCCAGCAAAATACTCTGTATGATGCTGTAATGGTAAATACACATCATTATATATCCATCCAAGCCCACAGGATGAAGACCACCAAGAGCAAGGGCTGATGTGACCTGTGGTCTTTGGGGGGTAATGGCATGTCTATGTAGGGCCATCACTCTTGATAAATTATCCCACTGATATTGGAGAGGCTGTGGATGTGCAGGGGCAAGAAGCAGATGGGGATCTCTGAACTTTCCCCTCCACTTTGTTAAAAACCCAAAACTGCTCTAAAAAACAAGTCTTAAAAAAATAAACAAAACTGTGCTGGCCAAAACAGTCAACAGTTTGCCACCTGTACAGTACAGTCTATGCTCTACCAAATACTTTCCAATGAAATCTAAAAACCCTGTATGCTGAGTCTTATAAAATGCTAACTGTGGAACTGAGTAGAATGGGAGGGGTGAGGTACACTCAGCTCTTCACCCAGCAAACCCATTGCTGAGGCCCAAAGAAACCCTTCCAACTTCCAGCAGCTCAGTTTGAAAACCTTAATCATCTAGAATTAACACAGTGAATGTTCGGAAAGTCAATAAGAAACAAAGAAAACAACTGCGATAATGGATACTGTGGATAACATCACAAAGGAGTTCTTATGCAGAGTGACAGGTCAATTGCTGCTGTCAGATGAGTGGAAGAGTGAGATTTAATGGGAGGCAGCCACAAAACTGAGGCAACCTTCAGTACTGCAGAGAGTGGAGAAGTCTGGGGAGGTACATTCTGCAGGCTCTGACTCCCTAAACTTCCCTCTGGGCATTTCTCTGAACTTTCACACCATTTTTACTTCCACAAAGACATTTTACATACATCTCACCAACTGACTGCTATTTAAATTCTGCTCTGAAGTAGGCATGATATTACTGGCTGGCGCATCTCATAAATACATACATGAGCTAGCTAGTATTTAGTAAATACAAACCATTTCATTATTGATTTTTAAATACACATTTATTTAAGCCCTTTCAGCTCCTACCAAGAAATGGGTATGAGTAGGTAGAAGCCTAAAAAGGTCCCCTTGAGGATGGAGCAGGCTAAAACATTCCTCTGATAAAAATTTGATAGATAATCAATTAAAGGAAAAATCAATTTATCTATCTATCTATCTAGCTGACAGCAGGCCAACATCATTTAGGTTCTGTTTCACATGAGGAATAAAGTTTTATGGTTCAGTTAAAAATGAGGTTTCTAATGGAAATGTTGGCACAGTTTCCACTTCTAGGCTGGGCTGGTAATGCTATTAGACAGAAAGAGGAGGTTGAAGACAGTCACCCATGCAAATAAAGTCAGCTGCCTTGCTGGATAACTTGGGTATAAAGCATGAAATTAATCCCTGACTTGTTTCCTTTCCTCTAGATTTGATTCAGATTCCTGTGCACATCATAACCAAAGGAGGGAAAATATGTAAAAATGAGGTGTGAAAGCTGGATGCTTGCAGGGGAAGGAGCTAGGAGGACAGGTGAGTCATTCAGGCAGGGCCTGGGTGGTGACCTCGGTAAGGTATATCCTGGAAGCATAAGTCCTAAAGCGAACACACAGCTCTTGTGGGCTGTGGAGCTCACAGCTCAGAGCCGTCCATGACAGAGGGCTGGTCACCACAGAAGGACAGAGCTGCTCTGCCCATGCCACCTACCCTGGGCTGAGGAGTGACCTTGCTTTTTCAGCTTTGTCGCCTTGCCACTGCTTCTCTAAAGATGCTGCTGATATAGAGAGAGGTGCGGTCTTGCACTAAGGTGGCAGCCCCTCTCCATGGTCTCCCTCCCCAACAGTCGTCTTTTGTCACTGAAGGCCTCAGAGCCACCAACACTGGCCACTGGGTGCTGTTCAGCAAACGTTGCTTAGCCCGAGAGGCCACATTGTTCCACTTTTCAATTAAATACAGGTTCAAGGTACTCAAATTTGAGAGGAAGTGGGGGGAAGCAGTGTGGATCCTGAGGTATAAGTTAGGCCAAAAGGAGACCTAAGCCCTGGGATGGGGACAGGGAAGTCTGTAGGGATGCAGGATTGTGGTGGATCCCCTGGCTGCACCACGGCTGGGATCAGAGGGTGAGCATTCTGTGACACTGGCAACAGCATGTGTGAAACTTCTTCATTCATTAACACACCAAGAGCAATGGTAGGAACCCACAATCAAAAACTACTCAGACTTGGGGAGCACACATAGCAAATCAAAGGAATAAGACAAGGCAAAGGCCACAGGGGCAGCAAAGGGACCGTGAAAAGCAGTACTCCAGTGTGTCGGTCCCTTTCATCACGAGTGTGGGCCTCCCACTCCATCTGGTCCTCCTGCCAGCCCAGAAGAATATGTGTCCTAAGAAGGCTTGTTTGTTTTAACTTGCCTGTAATTCTGTTTCCACTTCAGTTACTGCTGCATTCAACATAAACAATTTACCCGCTCAGTCATGAGGAAAAACGAAAAACACACTTGACAAGCGAATTTCGTGTTGCTGAGAGATGACTCACTGCTGGCAGGGAGATGGGGGTGGCAGACAGAAGAGGCTTGGGGATGAGATGGGGGATGAAGACTCGGAGGACACTCACCAGGGGAGGAGCCCACGCCGGCAGCACGGAACTGCCCCAGGATGAGGCTCTGCTCGCTCTCAGCCAGCGCCAGGAGGAGTTCGTAGGCCTCTATGCACTGCTCACTGAAACAGAAGCACACGGCACCCTCAGCTCTGGGAGGGAAGGGTGAGCACCTTCCACGCCAGCATTATTTCCTGAGTGGCTCAGCCGCACCATCCACACAAGGGAGGAAGCTACCGGAATATTCCCTGGTCAAGGCCAGTGGCTTGCGCTGTATGTTGGTGATTTAAAAACACAAAACAGGGTTCTGGAATAATACAAGTGAAGCAATAACAGTGGGAGAGGCATGGTGGTCATTCTTGGATGACCAGCTCAAGGGGACGTGTGACAAACCTATGGCAGCCCCTGCAGTAGCTCCCATGGACCCCCACACCCAAGTATCTTTACCCTGGTGCCGTTGCAGGGTTGGTTGGTGTGAGCAACACTCAGTGGCAGAGTGGTATGTCACTCTCAAGGTTAGATTATGAAAATCACCGGCTTCCACTCAGTCACTTTCTCACCCCTATTCTCTCTCAGATTGTCCTCTTTGGAGGCAGCTGCCATGCTTGAATACTGTAAAGCAGCCCTCTGAAGGGGCCTGTGCGGTGAGGAACTCAGGCTTCCACTCAAGTTCAGGGAAGAAGAGCGGTCCCCACTCATGGCCATGTGAGTGACCCTTCCTAGGAGTAGACCTTCCTGTCCCAGTTAAGGTTTCAGAAGATGCAGCCTGGGCTGGAAGCCTCATCAGAGCTTTCTAACAGACCCTGGGCCAGAACTAAGCCAATCCCAAGTTCCTGATTTCAAAACTATGACACGATAATTTGTTACACAACCATCAATAACTAATATAACACCTCTGAAAAGGACAATTTTGACCTAGTACAAAGAACAGTTCCATCATAACAGAAAGTTCTTTTAGCTACTTGTAAAATGTCTCATGAAACACTCTCAGGACTTCACAGGATCCCTTATTTTTAAGAGTTTGAGTTTGGATTTCTAAGAAAAGAAGCAGTCACTCTGTCTCCATCATCCATTAGGCCAACAAGGTAGGTCAAAGACCAACCGCTTTCCCACAGCCTGACACCCACATTGCAGATGTGTAGACAGAAGTGGAGCAAGCACATGGCACTGGTGTGGCCTGGATGAGAGGCCTGCAGTAGCAAAGTGTCTGCCTGATTAGCTCCTGGAAGGTGAACATGGGAAATGTTGCCCTAGCCAACAGTGATTTGAGAGGACACCTGCTTTTGATTATCTTTTCATTCATCATCCTGCACTAAGAGTTAAGGGACAACCTAACAGCTTGAGGTGTTAGCAGCTCTTCCTTCCAGGCTCAGACTGTATTTCAGGCTAGAAGTGTTAAGACAGCTCATGAGGATGTGCTAATGTGTAAGAAGCCCTTTCTGACCAAAGGCAGGTTGAGGGCAGAGATGGCTGGTGTTAGGACTTGTGTTAAGGAGGATTTTCTGCTCGTTTTGATGCATCTGTGAACTTGTATGACTGATCTCAGCTTTGGTCTCATATTAGTTTGATTTTCTTAAATATTCTTAAAATATTCTTAAAACAATCTTGTGCTTTTTAGAGGATGTTGAGATACAGTCATTTTGAGTCCTTGGCAACTATGCTTAAGCAGTGACACTAATAAAATAAACCTAAGAATATACTCATAAATAGTTTTGTAGCTTTAAACAAGCATTAATTTAAAAACTGATAAATTCCAAAGTTGATACAGCAGGAAAAAAGTAGTATGTTCACATACCACTTGCTCAGCAATGAATTAACTATAGTGGTTCAAATAGGCTTGTTTTTATGGGAAAACAATTGGTAGTATGTCTGAAGAACCCTGAAGCTATTCATATCATTTGACCTGTGATTCTTGCTTCACAGAGTTTACACTAAAGAAACTATTCAAAAGAATGAAGATCTTATCTTTCTTATTCACCATTAAATTAATTTCAGTATTAAAAGTCTGCAAGTGTCAAAATGTCTTTTTAGAGAAATGAATAAAGAAAATGAAATATGTAAACAATGTGGGGGACACAACCATTCGAAATAAATTGAAAAAATTATGACATTTAAAAACAATGCTATTTTATAAACTATGACAATGCTGAAGAAACAGGAGCTGGAGGCTGAGCGGGGAGGGTGGCAATGTCAAGCCCAGCCTGGGCAACTCAGCAAGATACTGTCTCAAAAAAACAGAAAACAAAAGGAGTCTACTGGATTTACAATAATGTACAAGGTATATGAATAAAGACCAGAAGGAACTAATAAACATATCATGCAAAAACTGGTATTTTGAGTGATATTGCTTGAAAAAAAAACTGGCAGAATACAGTAGGAGAAAGGCAGAAATACATGGAAAATATGGAGGAGAAAGATACTAATACTATATTCATCATCCCTAATTTCTTAATTGCTCAGGACGCTAATTGATTTTCAATACACAGCACACTAGTACTTGCTGGTCCAACCCCCTTATTAATATCCTGAAAGCTGGGTTTCTACTTATATGCAGAATATTACTATGGATGTATTTCTAAATGTAAGCAGCACAAAGACCTGGCTGTGTGTCCTTCCCATTCCAGCTCCGCACCTGTACTGCAAGGCCAGCCTCAGCGCTGTGGCATTGGACTCGTACTTCCCCACGAGCATGCTCATCCTCTCTGCATTGCTTTTGCATTCCTCTAGGGTTATGGTCAGGAGGTCATTTTGGGATTTGAGGTGTTCAATACGGCTACAAAGGAAGAAAAATCACTTTCAGTTAGTACTGTAATTAATTTGCCAATATTTTAGTTGTCTCATTTATATGCAGGTCAGAAATGCACATTACCATGTGGGGCTGTCATATGCCTTAGCAAATGTAAGTGACACAAAATCATCAAGGAAACAATTCGAAATAAAACAATCATTAAAATCTGTGTGAGTTGAAAATAAAAAGTATGCTTCTGGTTGTTTTCCATTCTGCTGTGCTCCACAGCATGTTTCACATACCAGGTACTCTGTGAGGTTGAGGATAAACCCGAGACAGTAACAGCTGTGTGACCTCATGGTTCTCGAAAGAGTAGCACCTGGTGTACTCCTACCAGTCACACTGCATGGCTGCAGGGTGCTATTTGCTGAGGCTTTGCTCAGTCATCCTACTGGTAGCCTGCTGAATTAAGTATTATTATCTTCACTTCCCAGAAGAGCAGGCAAGGGGACAGGATGGTTAAGTCCTTGCCCAGGGATTTGACCCAGGCAATCTGGCCCCAGACCTGTGCTCTTACCCATTCACTGCAGAACAGAAGCAAAAGATCAATCAGTGAGTACACAAGAAACTGCTGTAAAGAGTCCTGGAAATAGACCAGGGCCTATAGATGGTGTCCCAGCTCCAGCCAGGTCGGACAGTCCAACAATTCTATTGGTTGGGTCAGTGAGAACTTTAAAGTTTTATCAGATTCAGAACTATATACTTGGGGCAAATAAGTTTTTTTTTTAAAGTGCGAAAATAAATAAAAAATGAAAATCAAAACAAATAAAAAGTTTTCAGCTTCATTTTCTGTCCCATGAAACACGCCCTTGTGTAATACTCTGAGCATCAGGTCTCACAGAGACATGGAGTTTCACACCCACAAAATGCAAGTGACTCTTGCAGTGCTAAGGGGTGTGGAAGCAATCTGCCTTGAGAATAGATCTTGGAATCACGTATCTTAGTGCAAAATATGGGGACTCTCATGCACATGGGCAATGTGTGCTGGGCACATAACCAAGACCACTATCTATCTGGCTCTGGGGACTCCAAAGTCCACTCAAGGTAAGCTGTTATTAAGAACAAGCTTTCTGCCCCTGTTCTTATTAAGACTTCTTGAAACCATCCTCACTCTCTCATTTATGACTTGAGGGTACATTCAGTCCCCACTAATTAGATGAAACCATTTACTCAGCTCATAGGGCTCCATGTGGCCAAGACCAAAATGCTTTCTTAGAATCCTTCCCTCTCTTAGGTCGGGGCCTTAGGTCAGGGCCCTTGCTAGTCTTTGTCTTGACTCACGGCAATGTTTTCTCCATTTCCCTATTCTCTACAAAAGCTGTGAGGGCTGGCATTCCCACAGGGCTCAACCAGGGTACTCTGATCTCGCCTTAGGGATGATTTTATCTAGTACCTGACTCTGACCTGCATTTCTGTTCCCATGGCTCCCAAACTTTTCCAGCCCAGACCTTCCTCTGAGTGCCAGTCTCACAGCCTCAGCTGCCTGCTGACATTTCCATCTGGCCGTCACATGCCAACTTCCTATTTAACATCCCGAGAGGAAACTGTTGATTTTCCCCACACTTTGTTCTTCCCCATCTTCCCTATCTCAGTGATAGGGATTCCTCCAACAGTACAAGCTAGATAACTGAGGATCTTTGAGATCACCCTTTCCTTATATTCACACCTAATCCGCTGCGGTTCCCACTGGCTTTGCTGCCCCAAGTATCCTGAACCAGACCCACTGTGCCACCCTTATTCTCTGTGACCATCTCTCTGCCTCCACCCACCCCATCCCACCCTTTCCATTCTTCACCTCTGAATTATCTTTCAGAATGTAAATTAGACCTTGTTCTTCCCCTGTTTAAAATCCCTTAACAACCTCCAAGCACACTTAGACTAAAGAATAAAATTTGCCCATGGCCTCAAAATCCCCATCCCCGAGAGCCAGGCACTGCCCACTGGGCCTCATCCAATCCAGGGAACCCTCACTCAGTCCCACTGGTTTCAGACGGTTCCTGCTTCAGACCTACTTTTTCCTGGCCTTGAGGGCTAGTAAGTTGGGCTACAGACTCTCCTTGGTCTGTCACCTGGCTATTTCTTTTATTTTTTGTCTCTAAATCTTCCCTCTTCAAAGACACTTTCCCTGAGCACCTATCAAAAAAATCAACCCTCAAGCAGCGGGTACAGCTCAGTGGTAGAGTACTTACATAGCATGGACAAGGCCCTGGCTTCCATTCCCAGCATCACATACAAAAAAACAAAAAAGGAATCCTCCCTGTTACTCGGTCAGTGCTCTATTTATGCTCTTCTTGAAGCTTTCTTTTCTTATTTGAATATTTTTGTCTATCTTTCCTAGCAGAATATAAGCTCCACGGTACCAGGGGCCTTGTCTGCTTTACTTTGCTTTACATATCGAATAGGGGAGAACACAGCAGTTGCATAACACAGGTGTGCTACATGAGGAAGAACACTGTGGCAGGTATGACCTTTCCTCTCCCTGCCCTCACAAGTCACAAAGTTACAGGCTAGCATTTTTGCAGAGTAATAAGCCTTCCATGTTGAGATACGCAGTTCAATAACAAACATCAGGATATAACTAGTAGATTATTTCTAATCTAGGAATCCCTAGGTCCCGATGTAGCTATGATCAGAATAGATAATGTGGGTAGGGTCAAAGGGCAGGAGTTGGAATTCTGCCTGGGTTAACAGCTCTAGACTTGAGGAAGATCACTCTACTTTCAACTTCAAAGCCTTTGTTTTCTCATTTGCAAAATGATACTGTACCACTTTTACCCTCATAAATTGAAGATAAGCAGTTGTCTGTGAGAGCCCACTGTAAGCTGCTAAACAACATAATAATATGCGCTACAAGTACCAAATATCTCTCTCATCTTTGGACTCTCCTGATCGCACATAATTCAGGAACCTCCACTGAGTGCAGCCACAAAGCAGGCTTGTTAAGTACCACAGTCAGGAGAAAGCAGATCCTCACTACACTGAGGGCCCCCCTGAAGGCATGTGAGTTCATTAAATAGCAAAGGACATATCTGATTCAATTTTTAAGCACTCCCAGGCCAGTGATACTGAGAAGGCTGCTTCTGCTTTACTGCAACTTGGTAACCTTCAAGACTGTCACTGTAAGTATTTAGGATTTAATAAGGAAACCATTTAATTTCAAGATTTTAAATGACCTAGATTGCCACACTTCCTTAATTCTCAAAAACTGTATTAAACAGTTTCAAATCAGGAAGGACTAACATGATAATTTAATTTATTCAGTTTTGCCATACACAAGAGGAGTGGAATTAAGCACTGGTGGATGGGAATGGTATCTGCATTTCTTCCTGGTTAGTTCAAGCTTTCCAGTTCTTACTATGCTCTCCCAGCAAAGACTGGTAGGTCAAAGTAGCCACACCATACTTGGCTGTGGCCCAACAATCTACTCTGCGACCACGGAACCATGTCTGAGTCAGGGTGGTGAGCATGGTTTGGCCACAGTCCTTTTCCTTGCTTTTTTAGCAACTCTCACATCACTAGGATGATATACAAACCAGGTTCTTCCAAGAGGCAGAAGTGGAAACTCAAACTATCTCTGTAGTCACAGCTGGGAAGAATCCACAGTACTATGGGTAAATTTACTTTCAGTAGGACAATGAGAATATGATGTTGGGACTCAGGGTTGGGCACACTGGCAGAAGTATAAATAAAAATTAGGGAATTAGGAAGAACAGAGAGAGTTAGAGCAGCAGCCTGGCCAACACCAGAGGCGCCTCCAGCACACTGGCTCTGCTGCTTCCTGGTAGGTCCAGGCGCCCCTGGGACGCTGACTCAACATTCCAGAACTTCCCTCCGTGTCTCTGTAGAGCAGGCCTTTGTGCCTGGCAGCCATCTGTGTGTGACCTAGTTGCCATTCTCTGTGTACTACTCCCGGGGCTTGCTGTGTAATGTGAAAGGTCCAGAGTAAAATGAAAAAGTGGGGCCCCTGGTTCATAAATTACTAAGAATTTAAAACAGCAAGAGCAGAGCAGTAAAGCAAGTGCAGAGTCTTTCTAAGCATGAAACTGTGCGGAGGCCACACTCCCATGAAGCTGCTGTGACTGCTGCACACAGCCCTCCTGAGCCCACATAGTGAGCCCCTCTCCCTCACTGGCACCTTACCAGCCTCGCTTCAGTCACAGTTCATAAAGAATCTTCAGAAAGGGAGGGGAGGAGCAGCTCCCACCCTCCAAACAAATGTCCGTAAGTGTTCCCTACCTGTTCAATCGTTCCGTTTCCACCTCAAACTCCCTAATCTTGCTTTCCGAGATGGCAGATCCATGTGAATAGAGTGTCTGGAAAATCTCTTGGATGTTGGAGCAGTCCTGAAGCGAGTGGGCCAGGTGTTCTGCCACGCTGCTGGACACCTGTACAAATAAGCATTCATTCCTAAGGAGTGTCCATTCAGGGATGCAAGTTCCCAGGCACACTCTGTATGCCGAACAATTTAAAGCTAAGATTCCTTGAGAATCTGCCACTAGGACATGATTACTCTGATGGGTCTTGGCTTGTGTATTATAATTCTAATGCAGAAAGCTACCTACTACTAAAGTAGTACATAAAACATGATCAAACTACAGCTGCATGCCTCAAGCATGTGCGGCTGGGCCTGACCTTCTTTCCCCAATTAGAGCTCCTTGATGCTCCACACCATTGTCTTCGGTCACAGCAGCCACAGAGAGGTGCTGACTAAATGTATGCAATTTCTGCTCAGTGCAAAATTTTACCTGAGGGCCTTAAAGTGTTCTTCAGGCTCTCTCACTCCCAAGGATCAAATAGCCAGCTATTCCAGCCTCACACACCATCCTCAAAGATATCCCTTAAGGAACTGAAACTACTCCCTTGTCATAATCTATCAGCTCTTCTGCCCTAGGGTAGGCTCTGAAAACAAAAACCAGTACCACACTGGGAGGTTCTGGTCTTTCCGAGCATTGGACTACACTACAAAGATAGCATTCATGCTCAGTGGAGAGCAGGTCTCTTTCAAAAAGGAGGTGCAAAAGACACAGTTCTTTTAGAGCTTCGAGACTCCCTTGGTCCCGAGGAGGGATAGGCAATATAAAACACATACTTTAAGCCTTTCATTAACATCACCAGGAATCAGACCCAACCCATTTTTTTTTAATGGATTCAAGTAAGGAAAAGAAAAAAAAATTCTCCCTTAAAGATCAAAAAGTAATTCACCATGCAGAAATGACCATACATTTTACTCTGACACTGGGAAAAGAAACTAGATATGAGTTATTATAATAATTACCTGGCTTATTGGAGGTGAACTTTAAAGTCCTTTCATGATCTGGGAGCAACTTTCTGGGTAGGTCTGTTGAGTACCTTATTCCCTTGCCTCTCAGCAACACTTACCCCAATGCTACTGATTTCTGAGCCCAGGACTGGCCGATCAGATGATGAGGATTCGGACCTTGTCTTTGATAGCTTTACCCTCTCGGCAATCTTGAAAAACAAAATGATCAAAAAAGTACACACACCCTTCAGGTTAACTATCGAGGCCTTAGACTAAACTGATTCATTAATGTCTTTAAAACAACTCACTTGTCCAATTCTTCTACCATCAGTTTAACCCATGGCTTCTCAAGCTCAGCAACACTGACATTTTGGGCTGGCCTTTTCTTTGTTGTGGGAGTATTTAGTAGAACCTCTAGCCTCCAGCCAGAAGATGCCAACAGCACTCCAGTTCTGACCAGCCCCAAGGGCTCCTGGGAGACAAACTCACTTGCGGGCAAGAAACAATGGTTTCAGCTAAACTTACTAAACCTGATAGCTGAGAACCAAACTTAACATGGAGACCAGTAGGGCTGCCTGGCGAGAGGCCATTCATCACTTGAACGGTCTCTCTGTGGTAGAGGGCACTGGGACTGCTCTCCAACTGCCACAGCCTGCCCCGATGATCTTTATTTTTTTGTTGGTGGAACTGTGGGTCCTGTGAGTGAGGAGATCATTGGCTCATTACTGGAGTCTCTGCTGAGCTGAACCATAGTCCTTCAGAGCAACTATCCATCTACCATGAAGGGCCCTAGCACTTAACATAACATCTCACACTCCACTGTGACTTGTCAGCTGTGACATTCTCCAGCCAGCTGATTAATGAGAGATGGCGTCCAGGTTGCAGCCAGGAGAAAATGAAAACATTAGTGGGTTATCTCTCCCTGCAGCCCAGTGTGAGAGGCCTGTGCAGTCCCAGGGGAAGCCCCCTGGGGCTGCAGAACTGGGAAATGTCTGTACAGTGGCATGCTCAGCAGCAGCTGGTGCTTTCAGATAACAGGAGGTGTTCTCGCCCCTCCGTCCTGTCCCCAGGAGCTCACCTTGGCAATAGGAATGTCATTGCTGCTGCTGCTTGTGCTCAGCTCTCCCGTGCTGGGGTTAACAGGGCGGGTGGCAGAAGTGAGACGGCCAGGGCTGGATGGGCCTGTGGCCTGCACGCTCTGCAGTCGAGTTTGAAGCTCTCGAACCTGAAACCACAAGGCAATAAGACAGGGTTGGTGGTTTCCCTGGCCAAAGAGCAAGAGCCAGAAGGGCAGGTGGCAAGGCTTTCCTTTACGTGAAGAGCTCAGCCTCAATGTAAGGCTATACTGGTTGAGTCCACAAAGTCACTTAACCTTTAATGGAACCAGTTACCTACTTGTTGTTCTTCACAAACACAAGGAGAATGTGTTTTCTAGGAGCTGCAAGCTTCTGGCAGAAGCTTAAAGGAATGTTTATTTGTGCAGCCTCAAGTGCCTGATGCTATGATGGGCACCACTGGGACCCAGAATGGAATCTCCACTGTCCTGGAATGCAGAGCCAGGAGGCACCAAAAAGCTCTTATGAAGGAGTGGGTACTAGATTCCCTGTGAAGAACCACCATGAGAACACGTGATGAAGGGCTTCCCAAACTTCATGGTATAACAGAGTCCCCTAACACAGTCCTGTAGAAGGCTTGTGAAAACACAGACTCCAGGCTCCACCCTCAGAGATTCAGAGTCAGTAGGACAGACACCAGGCACTGTTCCCTTCTCTAAAAGCCACTGGAAAGCTTTTCATATTAAATGTCTGGGACATCTGCATCCTGCTAACTTGGGAAGCAAAAGAAATTGAAATTTCAATAATTCATCAACACATTAGAAGCCAAAATAGTCAAACTGCCCTGGAGCAAACTGCATTAAGTAGTGACACAGCTCAGAAGTGGCGGATGCGCTGCTGCAACTCCCAGGAACTGTGCATGGTTGCAAGCGTCTGTGTCCTCATAACACACAGGACAGGGCCCACCTGGAAACAGTTTCCAGGCTAGAAAAATACATGCCTGCCATGGCAAGGGGTAGGGCTTATGGTGGCCTGGTCCCGACAAACCAAGAACAGTGTCAATGTGGATGCCTCATACGCCACATGGCACAGAGGCCCATGCCTATTCCTAAAATCCCAACCAGTTAAAAATGTCTCTTCTTCTAATCACAAAAGTAAACATGTTCATTGAGGAAATGTACAGCTCACTGAAAATTAAAAATTAAAACAGTGCTTACGTTCTTCTTTAACTGTATGGGGACAATTACTTGTAGTCATTTTCTATGATGTATGTGTGTGCACACCCGTGCCAAAAATAATTTCTAAATCCAAATATCCATTTTCATTTTAAAGGTTTCAATCCAAGAAACATCTCTGAAAACTAAAGGATAATAAGTGTGTTCGTTTTGGTGTGTGCTTTATTGTTTCATAATTTTTAGCCTGTGGGGTGGGATCCAGCTCACATGTATACTGAGCCTGTCATGGAAAGACAGACACCTCAGACTGGTGGATGGGTTAAATGGCCTTCTCTCCCAACTTGATTCTTTTTTTGAGGGGTGGGTACTAGGGATCGAATTCGGAACCTTGTGCTTATGAGGCAGGCAGTGGAACCATTAAGCTAAATCCCCGGCACTCTCTCACCTTGATTTTGAGGAAGAGTGTAGTACTGATGTAAGAAACAGAATTTTTAAATTCTAGTACATCTACAAAGGGAGAAGGCTAATCTACTCTGAAGAAGAGGGGCCAGGTTTAGAGTCTGCCATGGAAGATCCCACAATGGACAAGGTGAGAAGAGGGCTGAAAACCAGTTTTCAGAGGTTATCCTTCTGAAACTGGGTATTTTCCAGCATGTGACAGCCTCAGCTAAAGTAGCAGGCACACCTCCTATCACAAATGCAGAGAAATGCTGCATTAAAGAGGAAACATTTGTGGGAAATTCATTGCCAAGATTAAATGAAAGCGAAATCTCCAGGTGCCAGAAATGAGAACTGCAGCTACAGAGGTCAAAAGGGAGGTGGGTGTTTCAGGCCCTGACAAGTGGAGGGAGAGATGCTGATGTGGGATTGGCTAGTTAGGCTAAGTAACACACACACACACACACACGCCCGCACACCCGCTGCCCTAAATCCTGGAGCCTTCCGGCCCTACCCACCTGTGCCAAGTGGACAGGAAGGGCTGACCCCAAAGTCTGCAGGAACCTCTGAGGCTATGCAGTAGGGACAACTGGAAAAATCCAAACTCCGTATCTGTGATATATTTGAGTGTAGAGTGCAAATTTACACCATCTATATATCATGGGAACTCATAATTATACATTGATACTCAACACTTGTTTGGATTTTGCAGGCCTCTTACTGCCTCAGAAACTGGATTTATAAATCACCCCGTGTTGTTAAGAAACAGGATACAGGCTTCCATGACTTGGAGCTTATGACTTCGAAGCCATCAGTCACAGGGACACATGCAGAGGGAGGAGGATAAACCAGAGTGCCAGCCACTAAAATGGATGAACTCTCCCCAGAAGACACAAGAGCAAACCATGCACTATATCACAACGGATAAGTGTAGGATACTTAAAGAATGAGAATCAATGCAACAGAACAGGCAAGCATCAAAAGCATCTAGCGTGAGAGCGAAGGTGGGCACCTCAGGCACTGGACAGTTGCTCTCCAGGAAATCAGCTGAATGTCACTACAAAAACCTCTCTCCATAAAATCTAGTACCTAGTGAGACTATTGTCATAAGCTGAACTGTGCCCATCAGAGTCCATGTCCTTGTCCTTGAGATGTGTGTGTTACCTTAGATGACAAGAAGCATTTGAGACTGGAAGACAGACCTGGACTATCTCGGTGCTTGGAGGGGGGCGGTCAGAAGGAGAGCCCTGAGATGCTGCATTCCTGGCTTTGCAGAGGGGAGGGAGGGCAGGGTCACAGAGCACAGGTGACTCTCCCCTCCAGCCTCCAGGACACAGTCCTGCAACACCTGGCTTTTAGCAAATGCGACACATTATGGACTTTGGACTTTAAGAATTGTAAGATAACACATTTGTGTTAAGGCACTGAGTTATTGATAATTTCTTACGGCATCTATAGGAAATGATGTAACTATCAAGAGTGTGGGCAGTACTTATATGGAATCTAAAAACGTTGATTTCCTAGAAAAAGTTGAGTGTAGAATGGTGGTTACCAAGAAGGGTGGGTAGGGAGAGGGAGAGATGGGGAGAGGAGGATCGAGGGACGCTAAGTTCCAGCTAGGAACAAGAAGTTTTGGTGCGTTTATGCACAGGAGGTGAACACAGCTAACAATCACATACTTTATATTCACAAAGCTAGACAAAGGGATTTTGAATGTTCACCATTAACAATAAATGTTTAGCTGGGCCTGGTGAGGCACTCTGCGAGGCTGATGCAGGAGGATCACAAGTTCAAGCCCAGCCTAGGCAATTTAGCAGCTTAAAGACCCTGTCTCAAAATAAAGAATAAAAAGGGCTGGGAGATATACCTCAGGGCAAAGGTCCTGGGTTCAACTCGCTGTACTACAAAATAAATAAATAAATAACAAGAAATGTTTGAGTAGATATGTTAACCTGATTTAACAGTATACAATCAAACTTTCTCCTTACCCCATTAATATGTATAATTTTCTTTATGTACTGGTTAAAACATAAGCCCAACTGGGTGGCATACACACCTATAGCCCTAGGTGCCAAGGCAGAAAAACTGCTTGAGACCAAAAGTTCAAGACCAGCCTGGGCAACATATTGAGACCCTGCCTGAAAAATAAAAATAAATTAATAATTTAATTGGGTTTTCTTAAGTGCAGGCAAAAATAAAGATACTTTCAAAGATTAAGAATTTATCAGACATAGATCTTTGCTAAAAGAACTTCCTATGGATACATCTTAGAAAATTAAACCCAAAAAACAATGGGATGAGAGAGACAGAGATAAGTATGAAAACTGCAGGGATGTAGGGGGAGGAGAAACCCTCTGCTGCTGCCGAGTGGATGGACTGACAAGCCATCCTCAGAAGTCAACAGTATGACTAAAATAAGGACCCTCACATCCTGGGCCTCAGAAATCTCACTCTTGGATGTGGAGTCCAGGGAAATTTTCACAGGAATACAGCAGACACATGCCCCAAGACGCAGTCTGTGGCTGTGGGAATTGGGAAGCAGGCTGGCTGTCAGCCTCAGTCAGTGTGACGGCTGCTCACTCAAAGCCCTCAGATGCATCAGACTGGATGGACACATAGCACCTTGGACTGATCTTACGAGAGTGCAGAGGTGAAGAAAGCAAGAAAGGGCTGTAGCCTAGAAAATGCCTGTCAGTCAAAAAGGACACATGACACACTGTATATCTAACAAGGACACAAACACAATGGGGGAGAACAAATTAATTCAAAGAGGGGCCTTGCTTAGACCAACAAGCATGCATTTAACTGAGGAATGTAATTAACTGACCTCTCTGCTCCTAGGTCCACATTAAAACAAACATACACAAAAGTTACACAAACAGGAGAGCCAGGAGCATTCGAGATTAGGCATAGACAGGAAGTGAGATGTTGGGGATTAGGAATTTGGGGCCAGAGCTGCCAAAGACAGACATCCAGTAGAGTGTGTAAGAAGAGTTTCTAAAATGGCACAAGGGTTCCCAGAAATTCAAGGCCAGGGCGAGTGTGCAATGGGTGTGGGTGCTTCTGTCTTTCGGGAGCACTGCAGGAGCACACTGAGTGAGGGCTGCTGGCTCTCAGATGAGTGGGAAAGAGAAATTAAAGGTGGCACTGGGGTCTGGAGTGGGATTAGAAATGTTATTAGCAGCCAGCTGAGAGCAAGTCTGTTCCACTGGTGAGAGGCAGTAGTGCTCACCGAGTAGCTGTCATTTCAAGCAACTAGGTTGTACTGTACTTCATAATCTCATTGTGTCATGGAGCTCGGTGAGGTGATTCCTACAACATGGCAGGGTGAGAATCACTAGGCCAGAAAAGCTCCACTTAATGAGGGTGAGGCAGTTCATTCCAGTGCACTTTTTTGGGTATTTTGTAGAGAACCATTCTTCTAGTGGAGATTTTGTAAAACTTTCCTTGGAGCCACCAAATGACTGAGAAATCACAATCTATTTTTTTTAAAAAACCCACATATTTATTCCTATAAATCTAATTCACACGGTGTTTTGGAAAAGTGGAATTTTATTGATGGCAACTTTGAGTAGGTTGAAACAGAAGAGACAGACCATGAAGCAGGAGAAGAAAAACCCAACAGCACTTCCATCTCTGAAGGTTTGACAGGTGCACTGCTCTCTCTTTTACTCTTCGGCCCACTGAAGTAAGTACCTGGATCTGATTGTCAGAATGACTGCATCAGGGAAAAGGTCAGCACTTTGGCTGTCTTCCTAATTTCTTACAGTTTTCCAACTAACGGACTCAGCTATTTTCTTTATAGCCAAGAGTTGGCCTTTAAGCAGCTTGGCCTCCTCACAGGCCAGGAATGGGTGAGGAAACACTGTGCCGACAACTAGAAAGCGACCTCATCACTTCCACAGCCCAGGTACAAGTATAGCCCTTGGACGGTTCCTGAAAACTGTTCCTGAAGAAAAGTAGCAAGAGCCTTAGCTCAGGACTCTCTGCCTGGGCCCCACTTAAAGCTCCCTCATCTCACAGAGAGGAGAAACATTGCTCCGAGAGTGCTCTGAGGGACTCAGACCGAGCTGAACAGACATGCACAAACAGCTTCTCCCTGGAACAAGTTCACTGCACCTTCCTGCTGCACTGTTAGGAAAGGGGATCTGGGGAGCCCCATGGAATGGGACAGCTGTGCTACTGTAACAGGCTGGTTTCCTAACTGCTAGCCTGTGTGGAATGAGGGGGCAGAATGAGAGAAAGGGTGGAGAGCAGAAGACAGGAAACAACCTAAACATTTGCAGGTGATGGTTTGGATCTAGAATGTTTCCCACTGTGTGACCACTTTCTGAGTATTATCTAATTCTTCTGCTTTGGTTGATTATCCACACTTCATGGCAAAGTAAAATGAGGTACAGAGAGGTAAGTAACTTGTCAGTGACTCATGGTGACTCTGCTGGTCAGTTTAGGCTATAACTCCACACAGTGTGGGTACAGAACCTTGATATATAAGGTAAATAAATATTCCCCATATTATTCTTCCCCCACTTCTTCCTACAGTTGAACTCAGGACCTTTGCACTAAGCTAGATTCTCAGTCCCCTTTTATTAAATTTTTTTAAAAAGATTTTTTATCTTGAGGGACGGTCTTTCCAAGTTGTTAACTTGCTCAGGTTGGGCTCAAACTTGTGATCCTTCTGTCTCAGCCTCTTATGCCTGAGATTATGATAGTTTTCTTAACACTGACCGCCAGAGTTGGAGAAAACACTGATGGAGAGGTACTGGCTTTTTGCTTGTTACAAAGAAGACTTGTTCTGTGCTTTAGTAACTCAAGTTAGAAAGGAAATTTATTCAAAACCACAATATGTTATTACACTTAAGAGCAACATTTTCTTCACAAAGCACCAGAATGCACACATTAAGAGCACAAAGATCAGCGAGGGCAACCCAGGAAATTACAGGTGGTTTGGGCCTCGGTGCTAACTTAGTCTCAGCTGGTTCTCCATAGAAACCTTTGCTGAATGGGATGAATTGCAGCTGCTGATGCAAGTACGGAGTATGGTAGCTGACAGAGCGTGAAACAGAAAATACACTTATGCAGGTGAGGAAGCCAAAAGCATTCAGATATGAGGGAGGAGAGCTGGCCCTTTAATTATGATATTAGTCATAAATGAAGAACACACCTGATAATGTTCAAAAATAGTAATTCATCCATATTCATGAATAATGACAACGAAGAATACTTGCATGTGGATTACAAAAATCAAATGGCATACACATGCTGATCTTACTGAAGAACAAGCAAGGTGTTCTTTAAAGATTAGGGAGAAATGGCAATGGTGAAGGTTCCTAAGACCTACTCGATATAGTTTCCCCCATTCTAATTCAACTCTGTGCAAAATTACCAGTCAGAGCATGACTAGAAAGCAACCTAATATTGTCCAGATTGAGAAGGAGAGTAAAATAGGCCTCGTATTTCAAAGTGTAGTTCAGAGGGAATCACAGTATTTCTGATTGAAGTATTCATTACTTCACCCCCAGTCCAATCAAAGATCAAATTCACATACCAATTGTGGGTATCTGGTGAAAGTTAAAACTCTTATCTTTGGAAAACTGAGTGCTTTTAACAGTTCTGCCAAATGTTTCTATGGTGAAACATCAGTGCCCTCAGTAATGGTGTGTCCTGACCAAAGTAGTTCTCAAACTAATGCAGGCTCTGGGGTGAACACCAGGGATCACACACATGTGTACACACATACAGTCATACATACACATACATGCAAATACACATGTATGCAGCCATATACACACACAATTATTTTAACTTTGATAAGTGTGTGCTAGAACAGGTATTTTTCATTAGATGCAGTATAAATAAATGACAGCAGGTACTATAGAATTTCTTAAAGTTACAGAAAAAAACTGAAAGGGGAAAATTCTGTATTTTAAAAATTATAAAAATATTAGACTGCCTTAAAAGAGCATGTTAATTATCTTTGGGGACACCGTACATACCTGGGAGAATAGTTTAGAATCACTGCCTGATAAAATTTTACCATTATTTAAATTTCGGATTCCAGAGAAAATTGATTTCAAACTATTAGCTACATACCTTGGCACTATGAAACTATTTTAAAGAATGACTTCATAATGAAAAGGGTCAAACAAGTCACAAAGTAGGATTGCTTGACGTTCCCAGGGCTGCCTTGGGAGCAACTGCATACCTGCTTCTCTCAGCCCTGAGCCATGCTTACCCTGCGCCGGAGCCGGTCGCGCTCCTCCCGGATGGCGTTCATGGTGGCCTTGGTCCGGTTCAGCTCCTCCTCCTTGCTGCACAGCATGGCGGTCAGGCTTTCGTTCTCTTCCCTCAGCCCAGCCAGCTCCTTCTCCCACCGAGACCGCTCTTCAGCCAGGTTGGGGTACAGGTCCCGGCCAAGCACCCCCTCGATCTCTTCAACTGTCTGCAAAACATGGCCAGGTCAGTTCCCTTGGAGAATGCGGACAGGAGTAGGGGGACATGGAGAATGGGTTTTAGAGCCATGTCACTGCACATAGTGACTGTGACTAGTGCTGCCCCCCAATTTCAGAGGAGGCCCTCTCCCTGGCCTGGAATAGTTTGTGTTACCAAGGAGTCCCCAGAATAAGGAAATACATTCCCTTGCTGGGGTTTCAGCCCGTGTGTGGGACTGGCTGCCATGTTCTCACAAATGTTTCTCCCCTTCCCTTGTGTTCCAGAGGTAGGTGGTGAACACACAGGCAGGCAGCAGGTCAGTCAGTGATCCTGACAATGCAGTGACAAGCATGAGGCTGCAAACTGCATACATTTAATTTGAAGTTTCCTAAATGATAGGCCTCCCACGTGCCTACTCAGCAATAAGCATGTCTCACTTTTAGTATCCCATCTGAATTCAGATAGTATGAATGAGGTTCATTCCCAAGATGTGTGTGAAAGACAAAAATAAACCTCAGTGACACAGAAAGGAGGAAACTCACTGTGGAGGTTTCCTTAGACAGCAGGGATTTAATAAGAAAGATAGCTATGAACTAAAAAGATAATACTGTATTTGGAAAGCTCATAAAAATTCATTTACAACAGCATTAATGGAGAAAACTCCATGAAATTAAGAAAAAAGGAAGAACTTGTTTTGCTTGTTCTCAGGAACTATTCCTCCACTTGTATTGTCTTTTGCTAAAGAAAGCAGAATCTGGCTGATTTTTGAGCAGGAGGAAGAACTACCACACAGAGATGGAAGGTGATGAAGAGCTATGATGAGAAACTAAGTCTCAAGTGCTAGGCTGAACACACGAGGGTGCCACTCTTGGATGCGCAGTTGCCCAAATCTTGCTGCCACTTTCTCTGTACTGTGCTTGGTCCTCTTTACAAATTCAAGACTCTGCTCCTACTTGGCTCCACTCCAGGCTCTAAGTGCCTTGCTAGTTAGCAGAAACCCTGGTCCTTTTCTTTCTCCTGAATATCAAGGTGGGGGCTAGGACCAAAGTTGACATTACAATAAAAAATAGGATCCAGCAAACTCCAAAGAAAGAAAAACAGTGCCAGCTCCCCTATGCCAGACCACATTACCTGCACATGTGCAACTGGGGTGCATAAAGGCTGGAATCCAGCGGTGTTACCAACATACATCAACATGGTTTACCTTGGGTCAACACGACTCTTTTGGGAAATCCAGGATTCCTGTTGACAGAAACTTGGGCCTAGAATGCTCCTTTGCATAAGTTCTTCCCAGACTTTGAAGTTAGGCCTAGGTCACTAAGCTACTAAAGTGAAATTTAAAGATATTGGAGGCCCAGGCTCAACTTCAGCTGACATCCCCATTGTTTGGGATGAGCGTGTGCACATGCAGCAAACTCTTGTCACCTGGCTCTTCAGCAGTAAGCTGGAAGCATGTCAAAGACAAAACTGGGCTTCGGCTGCATTGTGCAGGGATGAGATGACTCAGGCCCTGAACCTTCCCCTTTGTTAGCAACGTGGACTGATAACTCATGGAATTGTATTCTACAGGTCTTAGGGCTCTAATAATGCTTCCAAGGCAAATGTGCAACTTAAGAGTGCTCTACAATGAACCACACTAAAATGATAGGCTCAACAGCAGTAATTGAACTGTTTCCAAGTAAACTATCCTTTTTATGCAGAGCCAGCAATCTTGACCACCAGTAGAATGCCTTTTTCTAAAGAAACTCAGAGCAACACAAATTTCTGGAGCCTTTGTTTCTACCCAGTGGCCCAATCCACAGCCAGCGGCGGGAGAGGGAGGCTGACCTTGATAGCCAGGTCGCAGTGCTCGCTAGCTGTGGTAAGCTGCTCAATGTGCCTGTCCACCTCGGCCACGGACAGGCTGCAGCTGCTCTTCTTCCTGCCACAGACCACACTTTCCAGCCCCGTCAGCACCCTCTGCAGTTCTGAGTTCAGGTCACTGCAGTTATCTGTAAGTGAATGAGGACAAAATGTGTTATTAAGCAGGCAGGCCGGCAGTGAACATTCTCCATTTCACTTGGCACTAGGAATTCATTCAGGGGAAACAGGAGGCAACAGAGCTTGACATTTCACAGCCCAACCTCATCCTATCTCATCTCCCAGGCTGCTGACACCACCTTAGTAGCACTCGGCCAGTGTAAAACTCTTTATTAAGGTGTTTCAGACCTTAATAAGTGTCTGAAAGAGAGCTGTACCACCCTGAACTCTGTTGCATTTCACTCAAAGGCAGATACATCTAGAGTTTCTTTAGTAAAACCAAAGAAATACCCTAAATGAGGCTGTGAGCACTTCAGAAGCCTTCTGGTAAACCTTTCCACCCAGCCATTCTGACCAGTATGGACCCTAGTGTTTCAACTAAGTCTATCAAAATTTTACACATTAAAAACATCAAAAACAAAAACAAAGAGACCATTTTTAAACTTAAAATATGAACTACTCTCCTCCGTACACCAATCTATATGTTCCATCTTTGAATTTAATCTGTGTTACTCTATCAGGGGAAAAAATAAACTTCTAACAAATTCTATATTGTTCTCCATGGTAAGGTCTTGAAACCAATTCTAATAACTTGGCTTGATGTGACTATATCGATTACTTTTAAATGCTGGGCATCCAGGGACTGGGAAGAATAGGAAAATTAATTATAATTTTAACATGAGCTAGAAATATTACAGCAGATAATTTTTTTGGGAAAAAACTCTTAGATTGCTTTTTTTCTTTCCATTAAGTTTATTGGTATATTTTAGGTATAAAATATAGTTACAGTCATCATTGGGATCTTATACCTTTACATCAGTATCTTGGTTCTTATTTTTTCCCTTCCTCTACCCTCCCTCCACCCTCTCCACCCTTCCTTATTTGCAAAGACTTTGTTTCAATTTTATTTTCTTTCTCATATTTTTTCTTTTCCCTTCTTTCCTTTCCCCTACCTCTCCCACTTCTCCTACTCCTTTATGGCTTTTCTTTCTATTACACACTATCAATTACACATTTTTTAAATTACAATATCAAAATTTCGAGGACATTACCACAGATTTTACACAATTTAAAAGGATATAGAAAGCATATTACAAAAATCTTTTTTGAAATAAATTTGACAATTTCTATGAAGTACCCTGGAAGACAAATTAATGAAACTGACTCTGGAGGAAATATAAAATTTGAATAGCACCTATTAAAGAAAGTATATTCCTAGCTTGAAAACCTACCTATATGACAACAACAGGCTCACATACATCTTAACTGATAAATTATATCAAACATTTAAAGCAGAAAAAAAAAGGAACACTTCTCCCCTCATTTTAGGAAATCAACACTGTGCTAATCCTAAAACTGGATAAAGATAATAGAAGAAAAAAGTATGAATATAGATAGAAATTTGTTTAACAAAACAAACTCTTAGATCTGGCAGTATGTAGAAAGTGGTTTTATTATAGGGATGGCAGTGTTGGTTCAGCACTGGAAGATCCACACCCAAAAGTCATCATTTTAACAGAGGAAAGGAAAAAGCCATATGATCCCTGTCAGTAGTTGCAGAAAAAGTATTGGACCAAATTCTACAGATGTTCATGGTAAAAGCTATCAGGAGACTAGAAGTAGAACAGAACCTTCTCAACAGATAAGCCATGTAATCCATACTTCCAGTAAAAACACCTTATATGAATGGAAAAGATACAATGCTTTCTCCCTAAGGTGGGGAACAAGGGCAGATATGCCTACTCTTCATCTGTCCATTAAACTTCGAAACACAGGCCCAAACTAAAATAGTCTGCCAATAAAAAAACACAATTAGCATAGGATTGGCAAGGTAGAAGTAAAATCTTTATATGTAGATGAAATGATCATTCTACAGAAAATCTACTAAGAAATCTCTAGGAGCCCCTAGAACTTGTATTTGAATTTAGTAGGACTAGAAAACACAAGGTATATATAAAAATTCAGGTCTATGTATACTTGCTATAAATGAAGAATTGGATATTGAAATTTAAAAGTTCTGTAGGAGTACAAAGGACCTAGAAGAGTAAAAAGAAAGAAAAAAAAAACAGTGTTGGAAGACATTTATTACCTAATTTTGAGACTTCCTCTGAAGCTACAGTAATCAAGGCATTGTTGGCATAAGGCATACAGATCAATGGAATAAAACAGAGAATCTAGAACTAGAACCACATATATATGGTCCACTGAATTTTGAAAGATTATTTAACATTAACATTTTGTAGAACATAAACGCAATTCAAGAGTAGAGGAAAAGATAGTGTTTTCAGCAAATGGTATTAGAACACCCGGTACCCATATGTAAAAAACTAACCTCAACCCTTTATTTCCATACATAAAAATAACTTGAAAGGATCTCTGGACCTAAATATGAAAGACTAAAACTATAAAACTTTAAGAAGAAATTATAAGGGAAACGTTCATGAATTTAGGGTAGGCAAGAATTTCCTAGGATACAAAAAACATGATGTATAAAAGAAATTGATAAATGAGATTCCATCAAAATTTAGAACTTTAAATGCCATTGTTAAGAAAATCTAAAGTGGTCCTTAAACAGACCATATTCATAATACATATAACCTAAATATATACATATAACCCAGAATATATAAAGAACTCTTACAGCTCATTAATAGACAACCCAATTAAAAAGTAGTCAGTACAATAACAAGATCGTATTTTACACTCGTTAGGGAGATGAAGTTAAAAGTTTTAAAAGAACATATGTCAGCTTTGGTGTGAACCAGTTAGAACTGTCTAATACTGCTAATTTGAGTGTTAAATGACAAAACCATTTTGGAAAACAATACAGAAATTTCTTGTATTACTGTTAAGAATCAACAGTTCTGTTCTTAAGTTTTTAATTTTAGAGGAATGAAAACACATGTTCACAATAGATTTATACATACAAGTTGACTATCGCTTATCTGAAATTCTTGGGACCAGAAGTGTTTCAGATTTTGGTTTGAAATCCACTTGATCGGGAAAAAGTATAGCTATTCCTGCTTTTTTTCAGGTTCCTGTCACATGGAGTATTGTTTTCCACCCTTTAACTTTCAGTCTCTGAGGTTTTTTTGAATTAAGTATGTTTCTTGTATGCAGCATACTGTTGGATCTTGCTTCTTGATCTATTCCACCGGTCTATTTCTTTTGATTGGTGAATTGAGACCATTAACATTGATAGTTATAACTGATACGTATTGACTTATCCTTGTCATGACTTTTTCTTTTTGTTGAATTCTACCCTTTTGCATTTAATTTCTTGTCGCACCCGATGGATTCATTCTGCTGGGCTTCCTGGGGTTGTGATGCTCATTGTCTTTTCCTAGGATATTGTCTAAAATTTTTGGAGTGTTAGTTTGGTATTCATGAAGTTCCTCAGGTGCTCTTTGTCATGAAAGTATCTTATTTCTCCATCCATTTTGAAAGATAGTTTTCAAGGGTACATCAGTCTGAGTTGGAGGCTGTTTTCCTTTAGGGCTTGAAATACTTCACTCCAAGCTCTTGCCTTGAGAGATTCTGATGAGCTTTCCTTTGCATGTGATTTGTTTCTTTTCTCTAACTGCTTATAGAATTTTGTTCTTCTGTTGGGTTTCTGGAATCTTAACTATTATAAGCCTATGTGTTTTTGCATCACGGCTAGTTGGAGTCCTATATGCCTCATTTATCTGTATGTCAAGTTATTTTCCCCTGCTTGGGAAGTTTTCTGCCATCACTTCTGTGAACAGTTTTTTTTATGTCATCTGTACTCTCTCCTGTTTCTTTGTTGACTCCAATCAGTCATATGTTATTCTTCTTTGCATTGTCTAGCAGCTGCTGGATTGATTTCTCATGGTCCCTTACTCTTTTAAAGATATTTTTCTTTCCCTGGTCACTAATAGCAATCTTATCTTCTATATCTGAAATTCTGTCCTCACATTGGCTCATTCTGCTGCGTAAACTTCCAATCGAGTTTTTAATCTCCTGGAAATCTGTTTGCATCTGTTTTATGGATTCCATTTGTTTCCTATGTTGAGATTCCATCATGTTCCTCAGCTCCTCTATTTTTTTATCTGTGTCCACTCTAGATTTATTAATTGTGTCTTGCACTATGGGGACAATCTCTGCTGTTATCTGAGAAATTATTTCTGATTTCATTTTTTCCAGATCCTCTTTTGTTGCCAGTTCAGGGAGTCCAGGTGGTTGAGTATCAGAGTGTCCCATCTCGTTTCCCTTTGGAGTTGCTTTAGGTGATCTGGAAGTCTGGTTTTAAGACTTGTTTATGTGTCTTCTCATTTCGAGGCATGGGCAGGGCGGTTTGGTATTGTCGCCCGCACTGCTCACCCGCTCTGTGCTGGGTGGTGATGGTGCTGGTTGTGTGTGTAGTAAGGTGGCTGGGAAGCCTCCTCCTGGGCGCTTGGAGCAGCTGGCCTCCCCTCCTCTGCACTGGGGTGGTGGTGGTATGGTCTAGATTTCTTTTTTTTAATTCATTAAATTTATTGGTACATTTTAGGTATACAACATGACATTTACCATTGGAAATTTGTACCTTTACATGATATATCTTGGTTCTTATATTTTTCCTCTATCCCCTGCCCTCCCTCAAACCCTCCACCCCTCCCTATTTACAAAGACTTCATTTCCGTTTTTCCCTTTTTTCATATCTTTTCCTTTCCCTTACCCCTACCACTCCCCCTTCCCCTTTAGACCTTTTCTTCCTATTTCACATTGTTATACATTTTGATCCTAATTTACACTTTCTGTTTCTCACACCAGAGAAACTATTCAGTATTTACACATGTGTGTCCTATTTGTTTCACTTAGAGGAGTATGGCCTCAATGTGCATCCATTTAGCTATAAATGTCTCTAATTTCTCATTGTTTATGGCTGAGTAGTATTCCATTTCATTAAAAAAACACCCCATATCTTCTTTATCTGGTCACCAGTTGATCGCCATTTGGGCTATTTCCAAGA